TATCAGTAAGGCCGATGTCCCTCTATACCCAACTGTACCTAACCCTTATACCCTGCTTTCCCAAATACCAGAGAAAGAGAGTGATTTACAGTCCCGGACCTTATGGATGCCTTTTTCTGTATCCTTGTATCTTTAACCTCCTTGTTAAGTTTGTGTCTTCCAGAATCAAAGCTGTAAAAGTACAAATGGCTCTTCAAATGGAGCCCCAGATGCAGTCTATGACTAAGATCTACTGTAGACCCCTGGGCCAGCCTGATAGCCCATGCTCCAATGTTGATAACGTTGAAGGTACCCCTCTCAAGGAAATGTCAACTGCATGACCCCTGCTATGCTCTAATTCAGCAGGAAGCAGTTAGAGTGGTCGTCAGCCAACCTCTCCAACAGCACTTGGGTTTTCCTGTTGAAAGGGAGTACTGAGAGACAGGACTAGCTGAATTTCCTATAAGAATTCCTAAGCCTAGCTGGGGAAGGTGATGGCACCCACCTTTAAACACAAGGATGGTAACTCAGCTCACATCCAACCAATCAGATAGTAAAGAGTGGTCACTAAAATACAAATTAGGCTAAGAGCAGGAGGTAAAGAAATAGTCAAATCATCTATTGCGTGAGAGCACAAGGGGAGGGACAATGATAGGGATACAAACCCAGGGCATTTGAGCCAGCAGTGGCAACCCCCTTTGGGTTCCCTCCTATTGAATGGGAGCTCTGTTTTCACTCCATTAAATCTAGCAACTGCACACTCTTCTGGTCCATGTTTGTTCCAGCTCAAGCTAAGCTTTCGCTCACTGTCAACCATTGTTGAATGCCGCTGTCGCAGACCCGCCATTGACTCCCACCCCTCCAGATCTGGCAGGGTGTCCTCTGTGCTTCTGATTTAGCAAGGCATTATTGCCACTCCCTATCACACTAGAGGCTCACCATTGTTCCTGTGCAGCTAAGTGCACGGATTCATCCTAATCAAGCTGAACACTAGTCACTGGGTTCCACGGTTCTCTTCTGTGACCCACAGCTTCTAGTAGAGCTATAATACTCACCGCATGGCCCAAAGTTCCATTCCTTGGAATCTGTGAGGCCAAGAACCCCAGGTCAGAGAACAAAAGGCTTGCTGCCATCTTGGGAATGGCCCACCCCATCTTGGGAGCAGCCTGCCACCACCTTGAGAGCCCTAGGAGCAAAGACCCACTGGTAACAAAAGGAGACACAAACATATCCTTCTCCACATGGTGGCAGGAAGGAGAAGTGCCTAGCAAAGGGGTAAAGGCTCTTATAAAACCATCAGATATCATGATAATTCATTCACTATCACAAGAACAGCATGGAGGTAACCACCCACATGATTAAATTACCTCCACCTGGATCCCTCCTACAACACAGGGGGATTATGGGAACTACAATTCAAGATGAGATTTGGGTGGGGACACAGCCAAACCACATCAGATTCTGAGTGTGATTGTGAGGTATGATTGTACCTGGTAAGCTCCACCAATAGAAAGGAGGCCTCTGGGACTGGAGTGGAGACAGTAAGAGTAGGTAGGTAGAAGATGAGATGAGAGAGTTGGGGCTGATGGAGCAGGACCTTGTAAGCCATGTTAATGGTGTTGATTTTATTTTGAATGAAATAAGGCCATGAGAGTTTTGAGTGGAGAAACACAGCATAAGAGCCAGTTTGCACAGGACCATGCTGGCTGATGTCCTGAGATTAGCCACAGTGAATAAGTAGATAAGTAGAGAGACTAGTTGAAAGTCCATTATGGTAATCTAGGCCAGAGGTGATGGCAGCATAAATGAGGGGTATCAGGGTAGTGGTAGTGGGAGTGCTGAGAAGAGGTTGAACTCAAGATGAAAGTGAAAATTAAGACGATCTTCCAATGGAATGAGTAGGGGATGGGTGAAAGAAAAAGAGGAGTCAAGGATGGCTCCAAATTGTGGGTAGAGGTAACTGGAAGAACAGAGGCTCCATTAACTGAGATGAAAAGACATTAGGCGAAGCACATCTGTGGAAGGGATGGAACATAGCACTAGAGTTTCATGTTGGACACACTGAGTTTCAGCTGCTTAGCAGACATTCAAGTAAAGATGATTAATATGAGCCTGGAGCTCAGAGGAAAAGGCTAGGCTAGATATATAAACTTGAAAGTAAGGAGCATATGCATGGTATTTAAATTCATAGAATTTGAATAGAATCCCTCCCAAGGAGTGAATAACAAAAAGAGATGCAAATTTGAACCTCAGGGTCCTCATGTTAACAGGCCTTGGGATATGAGAAGGAATCAACAGAGGATAAAAAGGAGCAACAAAGGAAATAGAAAAAAGCTTGGAATTTGCAGAAGTGACATAAGGTGTACTGAAAAGCAGGAATTGATCAACTGTGTTCAATGCTGTTGTTGAGAGGTTAATAAAAGGCATTAGATTCACAAAAGGGGATCAATCACCAGTGTCCTTGCCAAGGGCACATCTTGTGGAGTGATGGAGTGAAAACTTGAAGGAACAAAGTTCATGAGTGAATCCATGAGCACAAATACCTCTTTTGTGATATTTAATCATTAAAGGGAACAGAGAAATGGGAAGAGAGCCAGAAAGGAAGTGAGTTCCACAGTTTTTTTTTAAACAGCTTTATTGAGATATAATTCACATTTCATAGCACTGTTTCATGTACGTATTTATTTATTTTGAGTTAGGAGAAATAAGCTCATGCATTTATACTGTTGAGAATAATCCAAAAGGGGGGACAAACTAGAGATGAATGAATTGCTGGCATAATATTCTTGGATGGAATCCAGTATACAAATGAAAGAGTTGGCCTTTGATAGTGGCACAGAGAGTTCATCTGGATAAATAAGAAGGTAGGTAATTGAGTAGAAATCTGGTAGAGTTTTCTTTTGATAGCTTTTGTTTCCTCGGTAAAACTGGAAATAATGCTATTAACAGAAAGGGATGATGGGAAAGAGGTGTTGGATGTTGAGAGGAGAGAAGATATGAAATGGAAGAGTGTGACAGCAAATGGACTAGAAAATATAATTGCCTAGCTGTCTTAAGGGTCAATTTGGGGTAATGGATTTAAGAGAGACAAGTTAGCATGTGGTTCGTAGATGAACAAGTTGTGTTCATCTGCATAGTGTAGTTGGGAACAGGAAAGAGTTTAGTTTAAGCCATGGTTAGGGTTGTGCCAAGCAAGTGTAATGAAATGTTCCCTGATTCTTCTAAGCTAAAAGTAATCTCACTTTCCTTGGAGCTTCCATACCATTTCCATTCAATCTTGCTTGTTGAAATGTTCTATCTTGCATATATTCTTAGTTGCTTAACAGCCCCTGATAACTTTGTATCATTCTAGTCTCTTACATGTCTAAGCCTACTGTGAAGCATATAGCAGAATAATTATGTCATAATGATAATCTAAAAAAATGGCTTTCCTGGGATTAAATCTTCTTCACAATGAAGTTATGTATGATAAAGAAAAGAACATCATCAATGGCAGTGTTACTGTGAGTCACATGTCTCAGTGTATAATATAGTTCCCTCTGAACTATATTTTTTTCTATATTGGAGAAAAGTCCTTTATGTACCATCTTAATAAATTTGTGAATCATTGAAAGAAACAAGGCTGGGTTTTGGAAAAATGACAAAGTCAGTGAGTCAGTTGTTAGTCTCTTTAACCTCCATTTGTTACCTCTTTCTCTGTTCTTGGAGTGAGTCTTCTTCTCCAGCACTAAAATATCTATTGTTGACCATCTCCAAAAGCCTGACTCAGAAAAAGCTCTGATACTTATACTGGTGTCAGATTTAATATTGCACGGCCTTCAGTAAATGTGCCACCTTGATCAGGCAAATGCAATTAAAATGTTTAAATCTGTTAAATTCTGTCCCCTTTGGAAATAATTTAACACTCAACAAATAGACTAAACAGATTTGGTCAGCCAAGGAGCATGTGTAAAAGCATTCAATATGCATTGGTGAGGCCCTCTGAAAAGGTAGGAATTATTTATTTGTTCTAAGTTAGTTGAGTCATGAGTGAATAAAGGGGAAGAAGAAGGATGTTGGGCCATACCTTTTCCCCCTTTCCTGGATTCTTCTGCTTTTCTGGGGAGAAAAAACTAAGGACTGCTTTCACTTTAGCTGCTGAAGTCTTTCCTTGGTAGCAGCTGGGAGCAGATGAGGAGCAAATGGCATCATTGAAGCTGTGGAGTTGGCCTTTCCATTTTCCAGGTCCACCTGACTGGCCCAAGAGATTCCTCCCTTGTCAATCCTCTCTACCCTGTTCATCATAGACCAGATCAGAACTTCTCTGAGATTCTAACTTGAACTTACCTCTTTACCCAGGATATCTAGATATGTATTGATGAATGACATTTTCTATTTAAATTTGTGTTTGTCCTAAAACATTCTTTTTATGTTGTTTTCATTTTAATATATTTTCTACTTATTTATATATCTTATTGTAAAATAAAAACATATCATTAGAGTTTTACATATCCTTTTGAATTATAAAGCTATTACTGTATATTTATACATCTTAGGGCATCTACACCTATACTTACGCAATGCATTTCTCTAACATATTGGTAAGTAAAGAGTTCTTTGTTTCAAAGTAGGTTAATGTTTGAAACACATTTTGTTGTTAAGGGAAAGACAATTACAATATTTAATCACAATATTTGAGTTTCTTGAGGTATTAAGACTTCTGCAGTGATTAATGGAGGACAGATAAATGTGTGTATCCTTAGCTTATTTAGTTTTTAATCCTGGGGCTTTTAGTTCCTGGCTTTGCTGTTTGCACAGGGCGGCAAGAAGGCATGTTCTGGGTTTGGTATGAGCTGGATTTGGTCCAAGATAGAAGATTGGTCATAGGAGTAAGGCACTAAACTGGCTGAAAATGGATTTCATCTTTGGCAGGCTATGACATTTACCTTTGCTCTCTCGTCACCAAGGTTACCACACCTAGCCCATGATGGCAGACAGTGGGATGAGTGGGTATAAAAACCAAAGTTACAGGGGCCTTTGTGGACTTGTCTCTCCAGAATGACTATGCTCCATTTCTAGGTCTCAAATCACAACCATGAAGTTGATATTATGGTACTTGGTTGTGGCTCTTTGGTGCTTCTGCAAAGGTAAGAAACTAATTTAAAGAATTCTTTCAAATGTGATGACCCCAAGTATATATTTGTTTAAATGATTAGTGTTCTGTACATCAAACATTTTCTTCCTAGCAATCTTTCTTACACTACGCTTTAGAGTAGGATAAGAAAACTGGATTTTTCATCTTACTGTGTATTACCTCAGCTTTAACAATCCTGTCTTAAGGGTGTGGATACAAGCATACCTTGGAGATATCTCGGGTTTGCTTCTAGATTACTGCAATAAAGTGAATATTGTGATAAAGCAGGTCACACACAGTTTTTTTGCTTCCCAACATGTATAAAAGTTATGTTTACCCTATACTGTAGACTAAGTGTACAATAGCATTATGTACAAAAAACAATGTATATATACCTCGGTTAAAAATCCTTTATTGCTAAGCAATGCTATGATCATTTGAGTTTTCACTGAGTTGTAGTCTTTTGGCTGGTGAAGGGTCTTGCCTTGATGTTGACTGCTGCTGAGTACCCAATGTGGTGGCTACTGAAGGTGGAGAGGGGGGAGCTGTGGCAATTTCTCAAAATAAGAAAGCTATGACATTTGCCACATTGATAGACTCTTCAATTCATGAAAGATTTCTCTGTAGCATGCAATGCTGCTTGACAACATTTTACCCACAGTAGAACTTCTTTCAAAGTTGCAGTCAGATTTCTTAAATCCTGCTACTGCTTTAGCATCTAACTTTGTCTAATATTCTAAATCCTTTGTTGTCATTTCAACTATGTTCACAGCATCTTCACCAGAAGTAGCTCTCAATTAAAGAAATCACTCTCCTTGATCATTCACAAGGGGCAACTCATCATCTGTTCAAGTTTTCTCATGAGATTGCAGCAATTCGGTCACATCTTCAGGCTCCACTTTTAATTCTAGTTCTCTTGTTCTTTCTGCCACATCCACAGTTGCTTCTTCTACTGAAGTCTTGAACCCCTAAAAGTCAGCTTCTTCCAAATTATTTTAATGTTGATATTTTGGCTTCTTCTCATGAATCATGAATGTGCATCTAGAAAGGTGAATCCTTTCCAGAAGATTTTCAATTTACTTGGATTATATTCATCAGAGGGATCATTATTTAGGGCAAGCTATAACCTTAAGAAATGTATTTATTTCTTCAGTAAGAAGATGTGAAAGTCAAAATTACTCCTTTACCTGTCGGCTGCAGAATGGATGTTGTGTTAGCAGCCTGAAAACAACATTAATCTCTATGTACATCTCCATCAGAGCTCTCGAACTCTTATCAATGAGCAGTAATATTTTGAAAGGCATCTTTTGTACTGAGCACTAGATCTCAGCAATGGGCTTAAAATATTCAATAAGTCCTGTTGTAAACAGACGTACTATCATCCAGGCTGAGTTATTTCATATATAGAGCATGGGCAGAATAGATTTAGCGTAATTCTTAAGGGACCTAGGACTTTCAGAATGGTCAATGACCAGTGGTTTTAACCTCAAGTCAGAAGCTGCACTAGACCCTAAAAAAGAGAATCAGTCTGTCCTTTGGAGCTTGGAAACCAGGCATTGAGGTCTCCTCTTTAGCTACGAAAGTCCTAGATGGCATCTTCTGCCAATCGAAAACTGTTTTGTTTACAGTGAAAATCTATTGTTTGGTGCAGCCACCTTCATGAATTATCTTAGCTAGATCTTCTGTTCTGAACTTGCTGCAGCTTCTCCATCAGCCCTTGCTACTTCACTTTGCACTTTCATCTTATGGAGACTGCTTGTTTCCTTAAATTTCATGAGCTAAACTCTGCTAACTTAAAACTTCTCTTCTGTAGCTCCCTCACCTCTCTCAGGCTTCAGAGAACTGAAAAGAGTTAAAGCCTTTTTTCTGGATTACGGTTTGGCTTAAGGGAATATTGTGGCTAGCTTGATATTTCCAGGCTACTCAAACTTTCTCCATATCAGAAATAAGGCTGTTTTGCTTTCTTATCATTCATGTGTTCGCTGGAGTAGCACTTTTAATTTCCTTCAAGAATTTTTCTTTTGCATTCACAAATTGGCTGAGTGTTCAGCACAAGAGACTCAGCTTTCAGCCTGTCTCGGCTTTCCACGTGCCTTCCTCACTAAGCTTAATCATTTTGAACTTTGATATTAAATGCAAGATCTGCCACTCTTCTTTTCATGTGAACACTTAGAGGCCATTGTAGGGTTATTAATTGGCCTAATTTCAATATTGTTGTGTCTCAGGGAAAAGGGAGGCCCAAAGAGAGGGAGTGAGATGGGGGCAATGACCTATTGGTAGAGAGGTCAGAACATAAGTCTATATTAAGTTTGCCATGTTATTGAGCATGGCTTGTGATGCTCGAAAACAATTACAAGAGCAACATCAAAAAATCACTGATCATAGAGCACCATAACAGGTATAACAATAATAATAAATTGGAAATATTGGGAGAATTATGAAAATATGTTACAACGACCTGAAGTGAGCACGTGCTGTTGGAGAAATGGTGTCAGCAGAGTTGCTAGTCACAGGGTTGCCACAAATCTTCAATTTGTAAAGCACACAATATATGTAAACATCAGTAAAGTAAAGCACAATAAAATGAAGGATGCTTTTAAATATATGTATACACATTTAGATATATTTGTTTAGCAACTGCCTAGAACTGTTACTAAGAAGATCACGCAACATACATTCAGTGTTGTTTGTTACTGATTTTCATCACAGTTTATGCTTTGATGTTTCTATCTTGAATGCATATCCCTACTAAGACTAAAGACACAAACAGGTAATCATGTTTTTCACAAATCGAGAAATTATCACCAATTAAAAACAGGGTCATCATCAAAAACAACACTTTTAAACTAACGACTTTCCTGGATATTTTAGAAAGTTCATTAATTACTTTCACAAATTAAAGGTAAGATGTCATTCATTTTGAGAAAATTAAACATTAAGCAAAATGAAAAAGCGCCTAGAAACAAACGTTGTTCTGTTCCTGAAAAGGGCAGAAAAGATAACATTATCCAAACGTAAGGGGAAAAGTCTGCAAAGAGCAGGAGATTTTTTTCCATATCTAAACTTAAAAATCTATTCTCTAAATCTGAAAGTAGAACACAAAACATACATCTTACTTTTCTCTGAGATGCCAGAATATAGAGAACTGCAATTATTTGTTATAATTAAGATAAAATGTTTCTAAGTTTAATCCAACTCTCTGGGAAATTGATGAACCATTAGAAAATGATTACTTTGTGTAACAGTGATTTTCAAAATCTTACATAGTGCTTTGTTATATTCTTTTTTTCCTGTTGCATAAATGTGTTTCTTGTTTCCTAAGTAATGGAGCACAAAGCACATTCTTTTCTTTTCTTTTCTTTTTTTTTTTTTTTTTTTTTTTTTTTTTTTTTTTTTTTTGAGACAGAGTCTCGCTCTGTCACCCAGGCTGGAGTGCAGTGGCGTGATCTCAGCTCACTGCAACCTCCGCCTCCCGGGCTCACGCCATTCTCCTGCCTCAGCCTCCCGAGAAGCTGGAACTACAGGCGCCGCCACCTCGCCCAGCTAAGTTTTTTGTATTTTTAGTAGAGACGGGGTTTCACCGTGTTTGTTCGCCAGGATGGTCTCGATTTCTTGACCTCATGATTGCCTGCCTCGACCTCCCAAAGTGCTGGGATTACAGGCGTGAGCCACCGTGCCCGGCCCGAGTACATTATTTTCAAAGCATTTATTTTACGTCGTATCACCATAAACATAATTTTAAAAGTACTTGTTGTAAGTATATTAAGTTTCCTGAAGAACTGGCTCATGTTTCTAAGGTAAATTCCTATATATCCATCCATTGTAGATCTGGAAAATGATTATGAGTATTTCAACGGGCTTTCCATAGACAGGCGACTTATCAACAAAATTCAAAGATTTTATGTATTTATTCAAGATGTCATTGTGGGAAATGAGAAACATACTTGGAAAACTGCTCTTTGCAGAAATCCTAGGTGCCTTATTTGAAATGAATTTTTGTTGCTATTAGTCTGATTTATGTTTCATATACAGATTCTCATAGTTTTCAGTAGGTTATAGGATGATAAATCTTGGGGCCTGGAAGTTGCTGAAGGCAACTATTTAGTCAGTATCCATATAATCAATTGGAAGAAACATTTGCATTGTGTAATCAAGCATAAGTATATAGAAAGAAAAAAATTTGAAAAACACTTTTTCTGGTTAAGTAGAAAAAAACAGTTATAAGAGACATAGTTCAGGTGTGAATATGCATAATCTACTTTTATTTTTTTTCCTCAGGCTATCCTATATTCTCATTAAAGTCCATATAATTGATTCTGTTCTTTTATTCTTGTTTCTTTTTTGTATAATTCACTGCTTATGAACACATTACCCAGAAAATGTTTAGGGGAAATAAAAGCATGTGAAATTTAGATCAGAAAACATACTTTAGATAAACAGCTGTAGTTGTGTGAAAAAGATATAAAGTACTGGCTAATATTAATTTGTGAACTTAATCTATTTGGTCATGCATATTTTCAAGTCTGAGTTGGCATTGAAAATTTTGATATCAAGTATGCTGGTAGGTCTGTGTTACATAGATCATTTCCTATTAAATAGAAAACCTGCAAAATAATAAATTACCATTAAAATATTACACTTACCAGATAAAAACAGTGGATTGCTTATATTGAATTTTAAGGAAGAATGAAAACAAAAAGAACATCTTTTTCATTGTCTTAAAATATGTTATAGAGAATTATAAAATGACTTGTTTTTTTTTTTTTTTCCATTTAAAAATAGATGTGGAAGCCCTACTTTACCGACAAAAATCAGGTCAGTATCTTTCAGGAATTAATCTTTGCTTTGAAACATTATGCTGCATTGTGAGGTTGCTTTTGGAATCAGAAAATTAATGTGTGTCCTACACACTTGGTTTTGTGAATGAGCTCCCATGACACCCCGTTTACTCCACGTGACTCTGAACTCTTTAAGGACAGATTTTGGTCTATGCTGCTCACCCTGTATTCATAATGCCAAGAGCAGTGGCTGCAATGGAGTAGGTCCTCAGTACATCTTTGTTTTAAATGAATAAAATAAATTGGGATTATCAATATAAGATTTATTTTGCCTACAAGAATTTTCTACTTGAAAGTAACCAAATGCTTTGCAAGGTAAACTTTCTGAAATAAACCAAGGATGCCCTAACTTCTTACCAAAGAAGACGAGGAACTTCTGAAAATAGCTTAATCTTTTTTAAGGGCATGAAAATGCATGTCCATTATCATATTATATTCTATACAATGATGCCCTTGGAATCTACTGACTTGTGTAAACAGTTTGTCCCTGTTCTGGAGATTGTTTCTGAGTTTCTGTGTCTGCTTTTGATTTGCCTTTCTGTCCTCTCTTTTCTGTTCAACAACTAACTCTATATTCATAGGATCATCAAGTCTACTTTTAGCAGTCAGTTCCAATTCTTACTCATTGTTTTCAGTCCTCTGGGCTGAGAACACCATCGATCCAAGCTCATTAGCCTTGTACCTGTGGTAAGGATGTGCACTCTGAGTGAGGCCTCAAAAGATTTCTCCTGATGGGTACATTGAATAAGCAAGAATTTATACGTGGGCTCGATGATATCTCTATTTGCCGCAAGAGGATTTCGGGACAACTTCTTAACTGCAACCTACATTTCAGATAGTTAGAATTTTCCAGGTGTTTAACTTACACAGAGAATATTACTGTGCAGTTTTCTTTTGAAGCATTTATATTAAGTGTCTCCAAGCCACATCTATAAACCATTTCTTCTTAGCCTTTGGCTAGACATGTGTGTGTGCATTTGTTTGTGCAATACATAAGATTTGGTTTTGACAACAAATTTATGAGAACATATAGGAAATACTTTATCTTTTAAATGTGCTATTTACTGTTTGTCTTAATTTACCCCTTCATCTCTGGGATAGGTTTACTAACCATAAGTCCTGGATTATCCTGAATTGGATTTTAGTTCAAATTTCTAAAAGTTTATCTTAGTATCAGACCATGTGCCTTGACTCTTTATTTGAATAATGCAGTCAGTTTGGGTTTAGAAAATTTAAAGGTTATAGAGCATAGAGAAGCATTTAAAACAAACCACAATCCTGTAAATCTCCAAATAAAAATGTTACTGAAAACATCTTTGAAGTTTCTTTAATATGCAATCAACATGCAACTTTATGCAAAATTCGATTACCATTGTTAAGTGTTTTATTTCACAGAATTATTGAGAAAATTATTTTGGAAACAAATGACTTGATGTATTTAATACAAATATTTTTATATTTGTAAATCTTAATAAGTGCGTGTATATGTAAATTATACTTTTTGTTGTAAAGTACCCATTCTTATTGTGAGTTTTTGACTCAGCTGTACTTACAATAGCTTGACAAGGTTGTACATTTACATACCATTTATTTAAGTATGGAGAAAGTTTACCTTGATTTACAATAATGACAAATAATTTTTAAGTTGTGTATACATAAATTTTAGTATTCAGCCGTAAACTAGAAATTGTAGACATTTGATTCAGGTTAAGTAATTGTAGTTTATTCAGTACCTTTGTCACATGAAAATATGTTTTAACTAAAACTTCTGCATTTTACCAAAAGAATAATTAGTCTTTTGAAGCACCTGTTCAGGCATCTAAAAATTATTGAGTTTTGCTGCATTCTAATTTATGCATTTAGACTGGGCATGAGAGTGACTGGAAGATTAGCCCAGACTTTCTCCTTTATGGCAGTGTTCTGAAGATGCAGAAATGTACCATGGACAATGGCTAATTACCGTATTTATGCCTGAGTATTAAATTCAATGAATATATCTCTTTGGGAGCACCTCCCAAAGACAACAAATGACTGTAATCAATATTCACTTTCTACTGGCAAATCTATCATTTAGAGACACCACTAATGACAGCAATTCTTCCTTTCTTTGTTCAGATGGTAAAATAGCAGCAAGCAGATCAGGTAAATTACTTTATTCTCTTTTCTTATACTGTTTATACTCAAAAGCAATAGAATGGTAGTGCTTTGCTTTGGACCTAGGGCGTATCTCCCCTGGAAAAATCCTTCAAATGCTTAAAATATAATCTCTCTTATTATTACAGACATGCTTTAATGTGTTTTTGTATAATCTGGGCCAGACATTTTAATCTTTGATCAATACTTTTACAGGTGGTGAAATTTAAAATGGAAAATTGCTCTGGTTATTTGCTTAACCTAAAATATCTTAAACCTGTGATAGAAATGTGTATGCAAATTTAAGACTTTACTTTCCTATATTTTCATTGGCAGGACATGCTGTTGCTTTTCTCTTCCAAGATTGATTCCTTAGTGATCTGCTTTAAAATCAATCTAGTTTCAGCAGTTTTACTAGATCCCATCAGGTGATTGAATATCACCATTATCCTTTACTGTTTTTTGTTTCTCTACCCACTGAAATGGAAAAATGAGCCATAGCAAATCAACAAGACTGCTTAATGAAGTTTTTCTGAAATCCAGCATTAAAATTATTGCTAATATCAACTTAGATTCAATTTTATTCTGATCTATTGTACACAGCAATCAAAATAGCCCAATATACTTTCCTGTGCTTTTCTTATAGGCATTTTACATCCCTACCTCATTCTACAACATAAATAAAATGTAATTTCAAAAAGTCTTCTTTGAGGGAAAATATAAACTGAGATTAAGCAGCAGCTCAGTTGAGTCAGGAAGACAGCAAGATTATTTTTCACAGCTATGGACGAGACTCATTAAATTCCATCATAGTGATATAGTAAGAGTTTCTCTACAAAATCTGGTTGTTACTTTCGTAAATGGGGGTATACAAGTCTTCAGCATTCCTTTAGAAGCCCCCATTCACAAATGAGAGGGAGGTAAGGGTATGCTTGGGATTTTATAGTTCTATGAAAGTTCCTTAAAATTCTGAGGAATTGAATTTATTCCCATGTGTCTCAGAGAACTTCCAGGTCTGGGTATTATTTAGGAGGGACATGAGGTTCTCCAAGGCTAGAGCTGTCTTAAGTGAATAAAAATGGCAAGCAAGAAAGTCCCCATCAACCACTCAACCAGTCAACATAAAACTGGACAAACTGACCAGGCACGGTGGGTCAGGCCTGTAATCCCAGCACTTTGGGAGGCTGAGGCAGGCAGATCACGAGGTCAAGAGACTGAGACCATCCTGGCCAACATGGTGAAAGCCCGTCTCCTCCAAAGAAGAGAAAAATTAGCCGGGCATGGTGGTGGGGGCCTGTAGTCCCAGATACTCAGGAGGCTGAGGCAGGAGAATTGCTTGAACCCGGGTGGTGGAGCTTGCAGTGAGCTGAGATTGCGCCACTGCACTCCAGCCCGGCAACAAAGCAAGACTCCATCTCAAAAAGCAAACAAACAAACAAACAACAAACAAACAAAAAAACTGGACAAACTTCAGGGCATTGTTATCCCTCAAACTCTTCATTCTTTAATGAGATCAAGACTCCTATATTTGAGAAAAAGGATTATAGGTCAATACAGGGCTTCATGTTTTTTGATATCCACTGATTTTTACTGATGTCAGAAACATAATTCATTTGTTCCCATTACTTTAAAAATCTTCCTATCCACACAGCGGAATCATGTTCACCTCTCTTATCCAGCCCTTTCTCTCCATGAGGTAGGGATGAAGAAGCAGAATTATGTCTGTTTTAATTTTCTACTCCATTCTATGGTTTAAAGTATAAGCTAAACCTTCCAAAATTTTGTGCAAAATGTATTCAAAATCTAATATGACTTTATTATGAAAATATAAACATTTTCATTTATCCTTAAGCTATAAAGTAAACATTTTATTTATCTTTGAGCATTGTATAAGCAATCTGTCTTTAAGCAAGATGAAGGCAGTGTACATCGCAGTTAAGAGCAAAGGATTTCTTGGCAGATTTTTCTAACCACGTGATCTTGGACAAATTATTCAGTCTCTTCTAAATATCTATTTTCTCATCTACAAATGAAGTAGTTTAATGGCACCTATCCCATAGAATTGAGGCTACTAAAGTGATAAGGTATATAAAGTACTGTTATACAGATGTTGTATATTTGAAAAACATACTGACCATAACTTCAGCAGCAAGTATTTCTGAGCAAGTTTTATATAATAAAAACAAAAGGGATAAAATAAAGTTAATAAAGTTAGTGAAGACAAATGTGGCACATTGAATATCTAGGATGCCAGGTCCACTCATGTCAACATTAGAATGAAGAAATACTGGTCTAATAAAATGAAGAATCTAATATGTCTCCGGGGTTGAGCTCAGGAGAGGTATGATGAGTATGGTGAACAAACACATCATGAATTAAATAAGTGAAATAAAATGCATCTAAACGAGTTTGATGCAGTAAGTTTGCTGAGACAAGTCAAATGTATTAAAGGACAGGGTTTATTCCAGTTGAATGCTGTGTGTAAGACACTGGACTAGGTGCACTCACCTCACTTAACACTGTCATTTAATTAATACTTCTATTATGAAGTAGACATGATCTTATCCTTGTTTATGATGTACTCCCCATTTAGTAGATAAGAAAACTTTGTTTTAGAAATGTTAAATTGTCTATCCAAGGACAAGTCAAGAACACAAAACACAGCCAGGGGCAAAAGTACAAATGCAAGTGTGTAAATAATAAAAAAGTTACAAATAACAGGAACAAAGTAGCAAATAAAATGTGTAAGCTGGAATAACATTTCCTATGCAGAATTTTTAGATTCATTGGAAATCAATGCAAGAACAGGGTTGCCTGTGCCCTATCCAAGAAGTAGCCCTGCTCCTTCTCTCTCTGGCTTGGTCACACTGGGAGAGACAGGCCAGCTTTCCTATCTCAGTCCACCTCTTTCTGCAAACTGACCACCCTCTGTTCATTCCTCACACCTTGGGCTTCAATTTTTGCAATGTGGTCTCACCTGGGGCAGAAGGTCTCAGGAAAGATGCCCATGAAGGTCCAAGTAGCAGGCTTGGAGCTGCAGCCCAGGGGACTTAGAATATTGTCCAGTAATGGGGAGGGGCAAGCACACTCTCTGAGTAGACAAAGGCTCTTCACCCTCGCCCTGTATTCTGTGTTCTCTGAGGAAGGCCATGACCCAGGAAGGCCACATGAAACTGACATAGATCAGAGCAGCAACCTCTGTTGCTAGGTCTAAGAGAGGTAGTGGCCAAGACCACACTGATTGCAAGAGGGTGAGCCCAGATGGGTTTGCTGAAAAGTGCATACTTTACACACAACTGAATACTTCTTTTCTTCCTTCTGCTTTGTCATCAAACTAAGATATTTATATATTAAAGTGCGGTTCTGAAACTACATGGCATCGAAGAAAGACAATGAGAGAGAGAGGGTAAAAGAGGAAAGGAAGAAGAGTATGTGGAAAACATGGGTTGATAGAGGGAAAGAGGAGACAATGAGAGGCAATGCTGTCTGTGGAGAAAGGTAGTGTAGTCATTGGAAGGTTACCTAATACAGGTAATAATATAAATAGACTATACATGATTTAAGCACTTGTATTCCTACAATAAAAAGTTTTACTATGGAATAAACATTAAAGCAGAATGTGATGCACATACAGGTTAAGGAGACTACCAAAACAGAAAGACATAGCCAAGCAGATGTAATCTATGACATACATGTTCTCAAGATTAACAAGTAGTTCTCAAGTGAATTTCATAGCAGCATTAGCCATACAGTTCAATCTAAATTTACGGGGTAGTTGGGGTGGCCACCTGTGTCTGCTGATTGTCTTTAAAAGAAAAAAAATAAATTTCTTGTATCTTATGACTGGAGGTAGGTTTGCAATTTGTAACCAGGCACCAGCTGAAGTTAGGCTCCTACCTCCCAGGAACCTAGGAGATGGGAAGTTATCTTCCTCTGTGATGACATGTCAAAGCGATGGTGCCAGGCCCTTGGGGAACCATTCTTGGGGTGCTTATCCAGTCTTTAAAAATATTTATATACATTTCAGAGAGGTAGAGAAATAAGTCACAAGTTTTCTTTTCTTTCTTTCTTTTCTTTTTTTTTTTTTTGAGAGGGAGTCTCACTCTGTCGCCAGGTTGGAGTAGGGTGATGCAATCTTGGCTCACTGCAAACTCCACCTCCTGGGCTCAAGCGATTTTCATGCCTCAGCCTCCCTGGTAGCTGGGACTACAGGCATGCGCCACCACACCCAGCTAATTTTTGTATTTTTGGTAGAGACGGGATTTCACCATGTTTGTCAGGCTGGTCTTGAATTCCTGACCTTGTGATCTGCCCACCTCAGCCTCCCAAAGTGCTGGGATTACAGGCATAAGCCACCGTGCCTGGCTGAAAACACAAGTTTTCTAAAGTAAATAATCTAAGTAAAAGTGTGTAGGGAGAGAAATCTCCTATTTTGAATATGGAGAATTAAACTACTTAGTTTTACTTGCATTTGCTCTTACTTATTCTTCAAATTTTACTTACAAGTAATGTGCTTCATTCTCTTCTCTATTCATTGATCAAAATGTATGTCTTCCACAACTTTACAGGAATATCATCATTATTACGACATTAATTCTAAAGCATTTCAATTTTATTGTAAAGATTAAAAAAATAAAGGGAATGACGGAAAGCACATATGCATCATGTAAGACAGTATTTCTTCTCTTAAAAGTAATCTTGTTGGTGAATGTATTTACTAAATAAATATGAATTGGGTGTCCTCTGTAGTTCAGGCACTGCTCTCATCACCTGGGATACTTGAGTGAATTAAACAGGCAAAGAAACATTGAGTTTTTGCAGCTTAAAACCTGGAAGGATACAGTCAATAAACAAAAAACATTATAAGCAGTAAACGTGTTATATTAAAAGGTGATAAAATCTGTGGGATAAAATAGAGTAATATTAAATATAGTGGTGATTGGGAGTATAATGGTGGGGGTGGAGTTGCAGTTTTAACTGGTCAGAGTGTGCCTCATTGAGATGAAATTTAAACTGAGACTTGAAAGAGGCTAACTTTACAATTAATTTATGAGTAAATGGTTACGTCTTTGCAGGAATACAGAAAGGAGAGTCAGATATGTTATCTTAATTTTGTCAGTTATAAGGAACAGTAGCCAAGGGCAGAGTGGATTCAACATAGCAGAGTATTTTGCTGGGCATCTAAGTTTATTTGCCTTGCTATCCATAAGGAAATATCTGAGGCTGGGTAATTTATGAAGAATGGGGGTTATTCATCTCCTGTATTTGAAGGTTGTATAAGAAGCATGGCACCAGCCTTTACTTCTGGTGAGGGTCTCTGGGTGCTTCCGCTCATGGCAACGGCCAAGGGCAGCTAGCCGGTGCACCATGAGAGAGCAAGAAAAAGAGAGAGAGATGAGGAATGACAGTTCTGTGGGAACTAACAGAGCAATAGCTCATTCATTACCAGGAGGACAACACCAAGCTATTCCTGAGGTGTTTGCCCACATGACCCAAACACTTCCCAACAGGCCCTACCTCCATCACAGGGATCAAATTTCAACATGGGTTGTGGGGAGACAAATCCTAAACAATAGCAGTGGGAAGAGGTGGGATGCTGGAACTTGGGACTTATGAATGGGGAAGAAAGCAGATTGGGGAGTTTCTGCTCTGTCCAGGAGAAGAAGAGTCTCTCTAGCACACATCAATGATTGAATTTCCACAGCTCGATTCTCCTCTCTTTCTTAAGGTCTTAGAACCATGACAAAAAGACATGGATAGGTGGTATATGTTGTTCAAGTGCCGCCAGAATAATAAGACTTGTATAAAATAAAAAAGTGGCTTTTCTTAGTGTCATAATCAGACCGCTTTTATAGTCTGTGCTAACAATGCTGTTTTCAAATAAAATCTTCTGTTATTTGCTATAGGTGGCTTCTCTTATGGTAGTTCATCCTCTGGTGACTTGGACAGAAAAAAGCCACTCTTTAGCTTGGAATTTGGTTCTCCAGGAGAAGCTGAAGACAAGTCTAGACAACGTCAGGATGCTGGGAGTTCAAGGTCAGAAGACACCCCAGCAGGTACTGTTACAGAGAATACACTTACCTAGCAAGCATTTTTTTTTTTTTTGGATAATATGATAACCTTTGTTTTATTGAAGACGTAGCCTTAATAGAAATGTGAAGACCCTATAGGCAGTAATGCTAGCTCCAAAGAGAGTGCTAAATTCTGTCTTTAGAGAATTCTGGCAAAGAGGTTTACAATAATTATTGTCCTGGTAATATTTATTTTGTATGCTATCTTTATATGTAGTATCTTAATTGTTATTATAATATATTTCAGCATATAAATTAATAATTTAAAGTGCTTCCTGGACCCAAATGTAGTATAAGATCTCTCTATTCACATTTCTGTAATCTAACCACCATTCATTTCCTACATTAGGATTCTCTTTTTAAATTACACCCTTAATTTGCTAAACAATATTATAAAGCAGTTTCTAAAAAGTTCATGGCCTGCAATTTTTTGGGGAGGAAAAATTTTTAGTGTCCTTACGTGAAGTATTTCATCTCTTGTTGTATAAAATTTTAAATGTCTTTAGGTGAGGTATTTCATCTCTTTTTGTGTTAGTTTATTCTCATGCTGCTATGAAGAAATATCCAAGACTGGGTAATTTATAAATAAAAGAGGTTTAATTGACTCACAATTCTGCATGGCTGAGGAGGCCTCAGGAAAGTTACAAGCATGGCAGAAGGGCAAACAAACACATCCTTCTTCACGTGGCAACAGGAGAGAGAAGAATGAGAGCTGAGTGAAGGGGCAAGCCCCTTATAAAACCATCAGATCTTGAGAACTTACTCGTTATCACAAGAATAGCATGGGGGAAACTGCACCCATGATTCAGTTACCTCCCACTTGGTCCCTCCCACCACATATGGGGATTATGGGAACTACAACTCAAGATGAGATCTGAGTGGCAACAGAGCCAAACCATATCACTTGTTTAACACATTTCTTCCCCCTGGCCAGTCCAAACTTTTTCTTTATTTTCCTGGTCCTGAAATCTGTATGGTTTGTACCTCTACAAAAAAGAGAAAGAAGGAAGTCCAGTGAAATAAATACTTTCAATGTTTTATATGAAAATTTAATATTTGAGTTCATGTAATGAAAAGGCAGTAACCGCTTTGGGTGTGGGGGTGTGGTTATGATATCTTTAGGCAGGACATAAAATTGTATATCTTTCCATGAGGTTGATACTATTTTATGCACATTCATTATGTAGTCTTCATTTAATAGTAAAATAAATTTTGTTTAAGGGAACTTTGTTTTAGAAGTGTTACTTTGTTTAACAGGCCAAGGGCACAGTCAGGGGTCAAGAGTATAAATGCAGGTATACACAAAATTAAAAGTTATAAATAAAAGAACAAAATAGTACATAAAATACTTTTTTTCCCTTCCTTGACAACAATATATTTATGACAACCTGGAAGGCAGGTTCCAATGTAGAATTTTCATGTTTATTGGAATTCAATAAGAGAATAAGTTTGGCTATGCCCTAGGCAAGGTCCCTACAGCCTCTCTGTTTCTATCTCCTGCTTACTCCCATACTGAGAGGGATGCCCTAGTTTTACTATTTCAGTCCATCTTCTTCCACACACTGGCCATCCTCTGTCCATCCTTCAGACCTAAGGTTTCAATCAGTGTAATGTGGTCTCACCTGGAAAAGAAGGTCTTGGGAAAGACGCTCATGTAGGCCCAGATCGTGGGTTTGTCTGTAGCCCTAGGGACTTAGGACATGGTCCAGAAATGGGGTAGGGGATGACACAGACTCTAGGTAGGCATGTCTTCTTCACCCTCAGCCTGTAGCCTCTGCTCTCTGGGGAGCATCATGACCCAAGGAAGGCCAGAGTGAGACTTGCATAGATCAGATTAGGAACTTCCAAAATGTTTGGATTAGATGATTAAGTCCCAGGTGTTTCAAGTGCTGCTAGGATAATGGGATTTATACAAAATAAAATGTGGCTTTTCATAATGTCATAATCAAATGACTTTTACATTCTGTGCTGGTAATGCTGTTTTCAAATAACATCTTCTGTCATTTGCTGTAGGTGGCCTTTTTTACAGTAGTTCATCCTCTGATGACTCAGACAGGAAAAAGCCACTCTTTAGCTTAGGACTTGGTGCTCCAGGAAAGGCTGAAGACAAGTTCAGAGACCGTCAGGATGCCAGAAGTTCAAAGTTAGAAGACACCCCACCAGGTACTGTTCCAGAAAAACATATGTACTTAGCAAGCAAGTACTCTTGATTTTCATTTTGGATAATCTGATATCCTACGTTTTATTGAAGACAAAGCCTGCATAGAAATAGTGGAAACCCTAAAGACACTATTTCCAGGGCCAATGAGAGTGATAAATTCTGTCTTTAGAGAATTGTGGTAAAAAAGTTTACATTAAATTAATTATGGTCCTGATAAAATTTATTTTTAACTCTATCTTTATATTTAGTATCTTTATTGTTATTATGACCTATTTCAGTATATAAATAAATTATTTAAAATGCTTCCTGGACCCAAATGTACTGTAGAATCTCTCCATTCACATTTCTATAATCTAATCACCATTCATTTTCTACACTAGGATTCTCTCTTACACACTTAGTTTACTAAATAGTAGCATAAAGCTGAGTTTCTAAACAGTGTGTAGAGTGCAATTTATTTTTATTTATTTATTTTTTTTAAAGAAAAATTTTAAGTATCTTTAGGTGAGACATTTAATCTCGTTTGACATATCTTTCCCTGTCGGCCTATTTAAACTTTCAATGTACTTGCCTCGTCTCTGAAATCTTTAGTTTATACCTCTACATGGGAAAGAAAGAGGTTCAGTGAAATAAACAACTTCAATATTTTATATGAAAAGTTGATATCTGAGTCCATGTAATAAAAAGGCAGAAAAAGCTTTGGGTGTAGGCGTGTGGTTGTAATATCTTTAGGCAGGACATAAAAAACTCTTTTCATGAGTTTGGCAATATTTTATCCTCATACATTATGTAGTGTCCATTTAATGGTGAAATAAACTTTGTTTAAGGAAACTTTGTTTTAGAAATGTTAATTTGGTTAGCCAAGGACAGGCCAAAGGCACAGTCATGGTCAAGAGTATAAATGCAGGTATATACATAATTAAAAGTTACCAATAAAGAAACATAATAGGACATAAAATGTGTTGCTTTTTCTACCTTGACAAAAGTACACTTGTGACAACCTGGAAGGCAGGATCCAATGCAGGATTTTCGGGTTTATTGGAATTCAATGCAAGATCAATGTTGACTGTGCCCTAGCTGAGGTCCCCACAGTCATGCTCCTTCCGTCTCTGGCTTATTCGCATACTGGGAGGGACATCCCAGCTTTTCTATCTCAGTCCATCTCCTTCTGCACACTGACCACTCCTTCCCCATCCCTCAGACCTAGGGGATCGTATTTGCAATGTGGTCTCACCTGGAGAAGAAGGTCTTAGGAAACATGCCCATGCATGCCCATGTAGCAAACTAGGGACTACAGCCCTGGGGCCCTAAAATGTGATCCAGAAAGGGAGACTGGGATAACACAGGCCCTGGGTAGGCATAATCCCTTCACTCTTGGCCTGTATTCTGTGCTCTCTGATGAGTGCCATGACCCCAGGAAGGCCAGAGGAAGATGTGGGTAGAACAGAACAAGAATCCCTGTTGCCTGAGAGCAAGAGAGCTACTATACAAGGCTACTAATTGCAAATGGAGGAACCAGATGGATTTGCATTAAGAGTTTATACTTTTGCTGCGACTGAATACTGCTTTGCTTCCTTCTGCTTTGCCAGCAAACTAAAATATTTATATATTAAGGTGCAGCTCTGAAGCTACATGACATTGAAAAAGACAATGAGAAAGATAGTAAAAGAGAAAAAGAAGAAGAGTGTATAGTGAAGAAGCGTAGACAGAGGGAAAGAGGAGAGAAAGAGGCGAAATACTGTATATAGGAAGAGTAGTACAGGTAGCAGTGGTTGAAGGGTTAGGTAATTAAACAATAGTATATATTGGCTATTCATAATTTAAACATTGTTTTAGTCCTAAAACAAATGCCTACATGCACATTTTATAATTTCAAAATCTCTTAAATGGTGAATGCCTTTCCCTAATACTACATAATAGATTATTATTTTGACTATTCTCATAATCACAGACATATTTTATTTTTACTATTTGCTTTAGAAAAGTAGAGATACACTTGCTAGAAACATGGAAAATGGCTAAGAATTCCGGGAGAGGTTGTTGGGGAAATGTCTTTAAAAATGGTCTCCTGCCCCCTCTGAAAACCTGTCCTGACAGGCATCTCACTAAAAAGATTGCAGACACACAGAAATATTTCTCTTTTATAAAACAAGCAGATAAAACCCATTACATGTAAGTTATGAATATAAGAAATAACTAGTTCTCGAGTGGATTTGACAGCATCATTAGCCATAGGGTTCATCCTACATTTGCATGGTGGTTTGGGTAACCACCTGTGTTTGCTGATTGCTTTTAAAAGAAAGAAGAAGTTTCTTGTGTATTATGACCGGAGGTAGGTTTGTGATTTGTAGCCAAACACCAGTGGAAGTTAGGCTCCTACCTCCCAGGAATTTAGGATATAGGGAAGCATCTTCCTTCATGACTACATTTCAAAGTGTTGGCCCCCGCCCCTTGAAGAAACATTCTCGGGGTGTTTATTTAGTCTTTAAAAATGTCTATGTACATTTCAGAGAGCTAGAGAAAGTACTCACAAGTTTTCTTCAGGAAATGATCAAAGAAAAGGTATTTGTGGAGGGAGAAGTCTCTTTCCTTATTTTAATGCAGAATTAAGTCACTTATTTTATTTGTATTTGTGATTACATAGTCTTCAAGTGTTACTTACAAATCATTCACTTCATGTTTTTGTCTATTTGGTGACCAAAATTTATGTCTTCCACAACTCTACAGGAATATTACAGTTAAGATGTTAATAATTCTGAAATATTTAAATTTTATATAGATTTCAAAAAATATACAAATGGCATGATAGAAAGCATATATACTTCATGTAACAAGGTGTTTATTACCTTAAGAAGTGGTCTTTGTTGGTGACTACATTTATTAAATAAATACTGAGTGCCCTCTATTGTTGAGGCACTGGTCTGGACACCTGAAATCCCTCCCTCAATAGAACAGGCAAAGAAAACTTGAGTTTATGGAGCTTAAAATGTGGAAGAAGGATACAGTCAATACTCCATAAGTATTAAAGACAGTGATAAAAGGTGTATCACAAGGGGATATATTTTACCTTGTATATTACAAGGTGACAAATCTGTGGGATAAAATAGAATAATATAATGGTAACTGGGAGTGTAACAATGGAGTGAGGTTGCAATTTTAAGTTGTCAGAGTGTGCCTCATTGAGATGAAACTTAAGGAGGTGGATAGTACAATTAATTCATGAGTAAGTGTTTACATGCTTTCTTCCTTGCAGAAATACAGAAAAGCAGCTATAATGAACAGTAGCCAAGAACAATGTGAATTCAACAAGGCAGAAAATTTTCACTGGGGGAAGTGGGATGCTGGAACTTGGGGCTTAGGAATGGGGAAGGAAGCAGACTGGGGAGTTTCTGCTCTGCCCAGGAGAAGAGTATCTAGTACACATTGAATCTTCATAGCTCGATTCTCCTCGATTGAAGTTTTAGAAAAATGACCAAAAGATACAGATAAGGTGATTAAGTCAACCAGTGGTGTATGTTGTTCCAAGTGTTGTCAGGATAATGAGACCTACTGAAAATAAAATGTGGCTCTTCATGGTGTCATAATTAGACTACCTTTTTAGTCTGTGCTAGCAATGTAAATGTTTTTTTCTTCACTGTAGGTGGCTTTTTTTATGGTAGTCCATCCTCTGGTGACTCAGACAGAAAAAAGTCACTCTTTAGCTTTGAATTTGGTGCTACAGGAGAGGCTGAAGACAAGTCCAGAGAACGTCGGGATGCTGGGAATTCAAGGTCAGAAGACAGCCCAGCAGGTACTGTTCCAGAAAAAATACGTACCTAGCAAACAAGTGCTTTTGGTTGTCATTTTGGATAATCTGAGAATCTTTCTTTTGTTTGCAGCACATGGCTTTAATAGTCATAGCTACTCTAAAAGCACTGATTGCAGGGCCAATGAGAGTGATAAATTCTGTCTTTAGAGAATTTTGGTAAAGATGTATACATTAAATTAATTGTTCTCCTGATAATTATTGTCATATGTGCTCTTCATACTTGGTACTATTATTCTAATGATGAATTATTTTTCTGACATTTTGCTGTATAAGTTAAAAATAAAAAATGATTCCTGGGCCCAAATGTAGAGTAGGTTCTCTCCACTCATGTTTCTGTATCTAACCACAATTGATTTTCTATATCAAGATTCTCTACTGAACTTACATACCCGGTTTGCTGAGTGATATGATAAGGAAGAGTTCCTAAGCAGTTTGTGGCCCGCAATTTTGTTTTTTGGGGGAAAAAATTTAAATTTCTTTAGGTGAGTTGAGGTCTTGCTGGTTCAATACAATTTTTCCTACTGTTCTACTCACATTTTTACTATATTTGCCTGGCCCCTGAAATCTCTATAGTTTGTACCTCTACAAAATGGGAAGGAAGCAGTCCCAGTGAGGAAAATAAGTTCTATATTTTACATTAAAAATTAATAGTTTTGTCTCTGAGGTTAAAAGGCAGAAACAACTTTGGGTGTAGTATCTTTATGAAGGATACCAAGTTTTTATTTTCCACTCACCTGTTTTGGGACTGACAAACTCAATAGGACTAAGGAGATAAGACAGATCCATCTACTCTTGTTTACATTAGGTGTTAGTCATTTTCTCATGTTCCGTAGAGCACAATAAAAGCTTATCATCAACGGCCCCAAAGCTTCATCTTTCTTATGGAATCTTTCAAATCTCATGATAAATTGGTTGCCATTCTTACTCCTGATTCTACTACATAGAAATATATATGGAAAGATACGGAATAAGGGAGATCAAGGAATATATCAGAAACTAAAATGCAGCTCTGATTCAAGCAGTGTGCAGGGATTACTTTCTTGTATTGTATGAATGAATACAACTTTTCTGTGGTAATGATTGTATTTTGGTGGATGAAATCAGTTCAGCAGGTAGTACTGTTTGGTGGTACTGCTTCAAATCAAAATAAAATTGGTAGGGGTCCCCGGTCAAAATGGATTAGATGTAGGTGCAGTAAATGGATTAGCTGACTCTGATTCTGCTGCCAGGGAAACAGGCATTCTATGTTGTTTCTTAGTTTATGCTTTTGTCAGAATAATCAATTAATTCACTGATTTAATTAGCAAAGCAGGAATTGGTGGTTTTCTGTGACAAATACAGATTTAATGTTAGAGGAATTAATGAAAAAAATTTGTAAACTCTTTGTCTGGTTCATCAAAAATCTATATTAACTTCAACAGAAATCAGCAATTTAAACAATTTAGTGAAGAGGCAAGTAGGTTTGAGGCTTCCCAGGAGCTTAGACCTGGGACAAAGAGTTTCGATCCCCAGTCTTTCACACTAACCTTTGGGGAAACTTGTTCACAAGTTTTGTCATCTGGAACAGATAAATCTTGTGCTCTTGAGTTTGAATGACATCTACCACATTAACTTTTAAAATTCCATTACTTATATTTGAACTAGTTTTCTTGAAAAAGAAGGCTGGAGAAAATAAATTTACAAAAGTATGGATGAATAGCATTTCATATTCGGAAACTAGAGCCAATGAAGGAAGTGAGTGTCAAGAAAGTATAGTAACTCTAGGTATTTTTGATTTAGAACAATTTACCATAAATGACGTGGACATTGGTAGAAACAGGAAGAACAAGGAGTTCACTGGTGGTAAATCCACAGACCTTGGTGCTCATGTCAGTGACTAAGGAATTCTGATTGAGAGACTATTAATACAAAATACAAATAATTCTTATTCTTTGTATATTACTCTCAATAACAGTTTAATTTTTCATTAGGCAGAAACATTTTGGCTTTTGATTTTGGAGTTGGTGGTGAAAGGAAGAATGAATTGGGATTTGGTTTTGGAAATTCTGGCTCAGTTGTTGTCAGTGGTCTTCAACAAAAGGCTATGGTGAAAATGAAATACAGAACACTGGAAATCAAGTTCCAGTGATGTGGATATTACTATTCAGGTTTTTGCATCAAAATAAAGAATCATAAGATGTGTTAAAATACTCCCTTGGCCACAATGATTTTTTTTCTATTTTTGTTTCTTTTTTTGTTTTCAGCAGATAGCACCAACACAAGATCTGGTGCTGGCGTTAGTAGCAGTGGTGCTTCTCTGAATGTGGGATTTGGTTGGGGGACGTCTGATGAAAAGGGATTGGAAGTCGGTAGAGCTGATGAGAGTGAAACTAGAGGCAGCGGATCTGCTGGGGGTGAAACCATAGTCTTTGGATCTGATGCAGGTAGCTCAGGTATTCCAACAAGACTCACTCCTCAAAATTTAAGATTGATTCAATTAATTAACTGGTTAAAATACTTTTATTTTAATGTCACTTAATAGCAAAGAGATTAATTAATTAATATTAACTTTAATCATATTTTGATTTTTTCCATTAGTTGGAACTGGTTATTCTGGTTTGAAACTTGGAGCAGGGAAAGGTGATGCTGCATTTGGTTTTGAAGTTTCTGATTCGAATTCATTTGGTGACAGTGGCATTAGTAGCAAAACAGTTGAAGGAAATCAAATGAGTAGTTCTGGAGGATCTGTTTCCATTGATCTAGGTATTAATATCCGACTTTTGTGCATAAAAATGTCTGAATCATAAAATAGTTTCAATATACCATGACAATTATTTTATATTCTGCAGGTGATACCAGTTTAAGAAGTGAGAATCAATTTGTTGGTGGTGGCTCTCGAAATTCGATATCCAATTTATGGGATTCTGGTCAAGAGGGATTTGGAATCAATGAAATTGGAGGGAATGGATTGAGTGGCAGTGTATCTGCTGAGGCTGGATTCAAAGGTTTTGGATCTGATGCCAGTAGCTCAGGTATTCTAGCCAGTTTCTGTTCCTGAGATATACACCTGAATTCCAAATATTCATTTATTTAAAACTATTTTGATGTTCCGTTAGTGGGAATGCTTGAGTCTCTTGAATTTGGACTTGGAAGAAAAAAACTTGGAGCTGGATTTGACTTTAGATATTCTGATTCAAGGAAATTTGGTGATAATGAGCTTAGCGAAAATGGAATAAAAGTTACTAGAGAATCTAGTTCCGGTGGTTAGGTATCAATATTTAATTTCTTTGCATAAAAGTTTGAATCATAAACTTATTGAAATGCATTCCGATGATAATCATTTTATATAATGTAATTGGTACCAGAACAATAAAAAAGGGATTTTTTTGTGTGATATATGAGAAAATTTGGGTTTTGGTTTGGAGAAATTTGGTCAAAAGGGATTTGGAAGAAGTGGCTCTGGTTGGAATGAGCAGAGCAGCAGTAAATCTCATGTCAGTGGCACAGGTGGTTTAGTCCTGGACTATGCTCTGGTGAAATCTAAATTGATTTCAACCTTTCATCCATTATTTTACTAACATTTTACTTCTTCACCAGTGGGAAAGTCATGGTTATTTGAATTTGGGCTTGGATAAATGAAGAGTGGAGCTGAATTTGACTTTAGAGATTCTGGTTTAAATCAATTTGGTGACAATGGCAATAGTAGCAAAGATTTTGATGGAAATGGAGTAGGTAGTTCTAGAGGCTATAGTGCTAGGTACTGATTGTTAATTTCTGTGCATGGACAATTCTGAATCATGGTATGCATTGAAAGTAATTCTAGTGATCATAATTTTGTATTCAACAGGTGACTCAAGTGCAAGAAATGGGTTTGAAAATTCTAGTGATATCTCTGAAGATTCAGGAGTCATATTGGGGTCATCTGATCAACATGGATTTGAAGTCAGTAGAACTGGTGGGAATAGAAAGAGAAGCAGTGAACCTGCTGAGGCTGGAAACTTGAGTCCTGGATCTGATGTCCGTGACTCAGGTATCCTAACCTGGACTCTATTTCCAAGAAATTCCAATAAATTTCTTTCTTCTTTATTTCTTTTAATCATATTTTGATTTTCGATTAGGAGGAAACACTTGGTCTTCTGTTTCTGGAAGTGGTGGAGGAAGTAAGGGTGCAGATGGCCTTGGTGTTGGTGCTTCTGGACTAAGTGAATTTGGTGAAACTGGCCTTAGTGGTTCAGGTACCTGTGATAATGGAAGCAATGTTACTGGATCTTATTCCTATGGCATAGGCATTGAGATTTCCGATTATCAGAAAATCAGAATTCTAAGAAACATCTTACAATGACAATGAAAATTGTAAACATTGTTAATAGTAATTTAAAAGGAATTCTGCATTCTCAAATGTTGAAATATTCTTAGATATAATCAGGCAAATGATGTTTAACATTTGTTGGCATAAGATGTGGAACTGGTTTCATGGCTGTGAATATATCAATGTAGAATTCTTTTTGTTGCCTTGATGTAAAATTGATTTGGAGTCAGTTGAAGAGATAAAGTAGCAGCTGAACTGTTGGTCTCAAACTTTGTATCCCGAATCTGGACTTGGCGGCTTTAGTTTTCTTTGCAAGCCCATTGCTGAGAAGACTAAGACTTGCATCCACTTTTGAAATCCTTATACATTTTAATATTTCCACTTAATGAAAATATTTGATTGCATGGTCTTGGAATTTGTAGTAAAAAATTTTAAAATAATATGTACTCTTGATGCAGAAACTGTTTTGATGTTGTTACCAGGGCTGGAACGACCTGGGAACCATTAGAGTAGATGACAATAGAACTGGGGACAGTGGATCACTTACAGTAAAATGGAGGTTCTGGAAAATATTCAGGATTCATCTTTAGAATTCAGCTTCAGGATTAATATCTTTTTCTCAAAAAGTGAAATGTAATTAGCAAGAGATACAGTGTAGTGTAGTAACGGTTGACCTGACACGGGATTGACTATCAATGAACCTATTCCAAGAAAGGCCTGGTCATACAGAAATAATAATTTTAACTTTGGTTGTTCTTAAACTTTGGTCGTCAATTTTGAAGTCAACGCTTCCAAAGAACTAAGAAATTCGTTTATTATTTATTGACATGGATTTTTAAAAAATCACAGTTGTTACAAACGGTTTCAAAGACATCTAATTTAGGAACTCCAGCTAGGCTGCCATTAGCTCAGGTATTCAAATTTAGGTTTTCTTCCTGAGAAATGTATTCAGAATAATTATATTTTATGTTTCATAGTGTGGAGTGGTTACCGATTTGATGATTTTTTTTTTTTTTGGCTATTTGGATGTTAGATTTTAACTGCTTTGATTTTTCCATGTGAGATAGACTTTATTAAGTAGTGTTATTTTTGGTAGTGTTTCTAATGGCAGTAAATCTAGTGGCTTTGCAATGGGAAGTCTGAATCTGTTGACATTAATGAAGGTGTCAGTTCATTTAGATTAGTGTTTTTCATATTTCTAGTTTCTGTGAGTGCAGAATCTTTTGTTTAATTGACCTCTTGAAATAGTACCCAGGTTTCCTAAAAGTAAAACAATTCAGAATGGGAAATAGTTTGGTTGACAGTGGGATAGGAGACCTAGAACTTTGTCTAATGAACCTTTTCCTCTTACCCTTGACAAGTTTTAAGACAAATGATCTAGAAAAAAATTGATTTGGTGTCAGTTAATTTAGAGGCAAGGCATTTAATTTTCTTACTCCAGCAAAGTTTTGAGTTGACCTTTTTTTTTTCTTGTACAGCTTTACACGGTCTTAGTCTGCTAGCATTAGCATTGCTGGACTAGGATCTATGGTCTATCCATCAGATTTTCTTTAAAAATCACGTTACCAAGTAAAATTATACACACAAAATAGCTTAATCATTTTGTATTGAAATAGGTGTCACAAACTCGTCTGAATACAGTACCTCTGGACCACTCAATACTCCAGGTAATCTGATTTATGACTTTGAGTGTTTAAAAAGATATACATACACACACACATACATACACTTACAATGTTGTAATGTTCTGCTGATTATTGATTTACTAGGACTTGTTACTATTTTTTCTCATATTGAGCTCTTAAGTGCTACTTCTCTTTGGATACTAAAGTTTAGATGGCCAACTAAGTATTTGAAACAATTTCATGAATAAGAGAGATTAAACCACATTTTAAGGGAATTTGAATAAAACATATTACAACTCCTTTACTATTTTAGACATAGTATTTTTAAAATGCCTTCATAAACAAATTAGGAGTTCAATCTGTTTTCACTCAGTCTGAGTAAATACAACCTGTAGTAAAAAGAAGAAACTTCAAGATAGATGATAAAGAGCATTTCGGAAAAGAGTTTACAATTCTATCAGAACATCCACTTTTGTTATTGTTGTTGCTTGTTTTTAGGCTTTACCCTACAACTGAATATAAATTTACTTGGTTACATACCAGGGTCATTAGATATAAACAATCATGGGAAATGTAAAGTTTTAAAGTATACAGATTTTTCCCTGTGAGTGGGAGAACTGACTTTTCCTCATATATAGATAAATTATTAGTATTAGATAATAGACTGATTGACTAAAATGTACCTCTGTCCTATTTGTGCCACAGCTCCTGATAGAAATGAACATGCAATGTTTTATTTCTAAAGTTGAAAAATATTTCTGTAAGGGGTGCAGCATATGTTAGTAATTGTACAAGACCCCCAATACATAAGCTCTTAATGATTCATGAACATACTGAAAAAGTGTGGACTGCAGAGTTAATCATGTATGTGACTTTGGCAAGTCCCAGCTCTCACAGAGTTATCCATTATATATGTTATATAATATACAGTATAAAAAATTCATTGATGGCCTTCAATGCCAACTTTTAAGTTCCCATGTAGAAGTTCCAATATCTTGTATATTTAAAATGAATATATGTCTTAACATTGAAATAATCTATGCATTGTGTTGAATAGAAAAAGGATCCCACATTCCAGAAGCAACTCCAAAATACTCAGAAACAAATGCAATTATTGGTAAGTAAAAATGCTTATGATATTCTTTCATATATTTACACCCACGCCAGTAGCTAATGAGATCACAGAAACAAATTTACAAAATTTGAAACTAGTTTTGTTTATTTATTTACTTACAAGGTCTCACTCTGTCATCCAGGCTGGAGGGCAGTGGTAAAATCATAGCTCTCTGTAACCTCTCACTCCTAGGCTCAAGCAATCCTCCTGCCTTAGCCTCTTGGGTAACTGAGACTATAGGAAGGCACCACCATGCCTGGATATTCCTTTTTCTTGGTAGAGGCAGAGTCTTGCTATGTTGCCCAGTCAGGTCTTGAACTTCTGGCCTCGAATGATCCTCCCACCTCAGCTTTTCAAAATGCTGAAATGACGGGCATGAGCCCAACCTGAAACTAGTTTTGAAAATGTCCCCATCATCTGTCTGTTTAATCATTGTATGTTTGAATGATACCACATTTGTACTATTTTTTTCTCCAGAAAACATGTATACACACACACACACACACACGCATATACCTATACACAGTCATATATACACACATTTATATGTATAGAGATAAATGATATAATTCTTTATCGTCATTCAATATAAATGGGACTTCATTCAGACTTAGAAAAACTCTCTCTTCCAAAAAAGCAAAGCAAGAAAGCATACAAACCACTGCTTCCTTCCATGTATTCCATCCCATATTAGAGACAATATTTGTTTTCCTATGGGAAGCAAGATGTTTTCAATCTTGCTTTATTTTAGCTGGAATAGCCAACTTAGGGTACACTAAAGAAGTACTCATGTACTAGTTTTAGTGAGTCTTTGCAGTAGTGAAAGAAAGCAAGCACTGATTTAAGGTGGTGGCTGTGAGAATTGAACCTTTCAGTGATTTTATTTCCCTTAGGACAAAAATGCTTTAAAACAGACCTGGAAGGTATGCTAATTGTTCTAAATAATTATGTATATGTTCCTCTGAATATTTTGTAGGTGAAGCATCTACCTGGAGCAAAGGAGCATATAAATCTTTCAACGGCCGCATCTTTTTGTTCGAATCTTCATGCCCGTACACTTTCTGCCGTCACTGCGTTGAATCTGGAGGGGATTTCAATATTGAAATCAAACGAAACAATGATAGTGAGACTGAAAAAATAACAGTTCTAATTGACAATAACGACATCTCTATTTTTGGTGACACCATTTTAGTTAATGGAGAAAGGTAAATACTGTAGTGTTTTGGGTAAATGATAGAAAATTATTTAAAGTGACCTGAGCAAAAAAAGAAAGAAAAAAAAAAAGACAAAAAGGGAGATGATACTTTCTTCCCATATTGATGCTCATATTGATATTTTAATTGATTATTGGCCAAGAGTTTGATAAATGTGTAAGACTTTGACATATTTGGGATTGTAAGACATTGTATTTATTCCCATAACAAGACGGAAAAAAATTCTGTTGTTTGAGTTTACTGACTATCTAGATTATGGGAATTGTGTGTATTCAACAAATCCGATTATTTTTGTTGAATGTTTCAGGATTTTTCAGTTTTCATTTGCAAGTTTAACACCAAGTATAAATTTAAGATTTTATAAGTTAGAAATTGAGGAGATTAAAACTCTTAGTTCATGATTTTTAGAGGGAGCAATTCAGATTTGGAAGGGATGGCATATTTGAATACTTTCCAGAATAAGAAAATGAGGCATGATATTCTACTTGGGAACATTTCAATTATTTTTTTCTGACACCAAACCAATGTTTCATCCTGTTAATTTCTCCAAAGCGCCAAAGATCTATTAGTTGTTTTTTAGAAGTTCTTCCAGTGTTCAAAAAAGCCACTGTTTCTCTTTTTCTGAATTGATAAAAAAAACTTTAGCATTTACCAGCAAGTATTCTATCTATAGGATACTAAATTGTTGGGTGACATGAATTATCAGAAAACATATTATAATAGTATGATTCTTACCTTTTTACATATACTTATATTTTATATTTTTCAGCATACAGATACCATATAACAATAAGTTGATTCACATTAAAAAATATGGAGAATATAATGTTCTGAATAGCCGTAGAGGAATCCTGACTTTAATGTGGGACAAAAATAACAAACTCTCAGTAAGTCTATCTATGATTTTCATGTAATCCTGTGCTTTTTGTCCTTTAGTTAAGTTACAAAAACAATACACTATTAGGGAAGTAAGAGCTAAGGCTTACTGAGAAATCTCTATGTATTAGTCATTATGCTAAATATCTCATTTAGTATTCAAAACATCTTAAAATACATGCTATTAATAATCATATTCTGCAGATGATGAAACTCAGGAAATGCAAAGTAAAAAAAGTTATTAGGTTGATGCAAAAATAATTGCAGTTTTGACCATTACTTTGAAATGGCAAATACCGCAATTACTTTTGCACCAAATAATATTTTCAGACACATGGTAAATGGTGGAGTTAGGACCTATTCAAATTCCAGAACCAGGTCCTTAAGAAAAAGCCCTCTAACACCTCTAAGTAAGCAGCTTAGATAGAATTGAATTTGAGGAGGCATGGCCCTTTGGTTTGGGTACATTTTGTTTTGAGATGTGTTTAACATTTCATGAACATATAATACATGTAATTTATTTTTAAAGCTCACTCTTCACAAGCAGTATCCAACTTGTGGTCTTTGTGGTAACTTCAACAGCACTCCAGGTAACATTCCAATGTATCATTCCTAAGAACCTGCTTTCCAAAATGAAACTAAAAACTCAAATCATTTTCAATTTTGCCTTTGTCTAAAGAATGAGAACTTGTTAAAATGAAAACATTTTACATTGCCAAGTCCATATGTAGCTTGAAAATAATGCACACATAAAAAGAATAACTGAAACTAAACAATGCTTTCTTTTTAAGGGCAAGATATTAATGAGCACATTGCCAATAGTAAAATTCCTGGTGATTGTCCCAATGCTGTTGGTAAAAGCTATGAAGTTTGTGAAGATGGAATACAGGTAAGAAATTTATATTTCATTGTGTAGCAAATTCTAGCAATAGTTCCTTTGGTTTCTTTTTTAAAATAAATGTTATTGTGTATATTTAGGGTACACAACATGTGTACGTGTTTGTCTGGTATGTGATACATATGGATAGTAAAATATTTACTACAGGGAAGCAAATTAACATATCCATCATCTCATCTGAAAGATACTTCAACTTTTTTTTGTTGGTTTGTTTGTTTCTGTGGTAAGAGCAGCTGAAATCTACTCATTTAGCATGAATAACAGATACAGTACAATCTTATTACTTATAGTCTTCAGATTGTACATTAGATCTCAAGATTCTTCCAGCCCCTGTGACCATTGTTTTGTTCTCTATTTCTACAGACTTAATTTTTTAAAAAAGATTACACATATAGGTGAGGTCATGCAACATCTTTCTTCCTGTTTCTGGCTTATTTCACTAGTATAATGTCATCCATGCTTATCCATGTTATGATAAATGGCAAGATCTTGTTGTTTTTTAGGGCTGAATAATATTCCATTGTGCATATATGAGCCACAGTTTCTTTTTCCATTTGTTTATTTGTGAACACTTAGGTTGTTTCCATATCTTAGTTATTATGATTAATGCTGCAATGAACACAGGAGTGCAAATATCTTTACAAGGTGGTATTTCATTTCCTTTGGATATATGCCCAAAAGAGTGATTGCTGGGTCATATAGTAGTTCCTTTTTTTTTTTTTTTTTTTTGAGACAGTGTCTCACTCTGTCGCCCAGGCTGGAGTGCAGTGGCGTGATCTCTGCTCACTGCAACCTTTGCCTTCCTGGTTCAAGGAATTCTCCTGCTTCAGCCTCCCGAGTAGCTAAAGTTAGAGTTGCATATCACCAGGCCTGGCTAATTTTTGTATTTTTTGAGAGATGGGGTTTCACCATGTTGGCCAGGCTGGTCTCAAACTCCTGACCTCCAGTGATCTGCCCGCCTTGGCATCCCAAAGTGCTGGGATTACAGGCGTGAGTCACTGCGCCTGGCAGGTAGTTCTATTTGTAATCTCTTTAGAAACCTCCATGATGTTTTTCATGATAGCTGTACCAATCTACATTTCCACCAACAGTGTGTAAGACTTGCCTTTTCTCCACACTCTTGCCAGTTCTGTTATCTTTTAACTTTTTGATAATAGCCATCCTAACAGGTGTGAGGTGATAGCTCTTGGTGGTTTTGAGCTGCATTTCCCTGATGATTAATGATGTTGAGCACCTTTCATATACCTGTCGGCCATTTGTATGTCTTCTTTTGAGAAATGTCTATTTAAGTCTTTCACTGATTTTTAAGTTGGGTTATTTCTTTTTCCACTTTTGAGTTTTATATGTTCTATATAAATTTTGGATATTAATCCTCAATCAGATATATAGTCTACAATTTCACCCCTAATTTTTAGGCTACGCTTTAATTTTGTTAATTGTTTCATTGCTATGCAGAAGCACTGTTTTGATGCAGTCCCACTTGTTTATTTTTGCTTTTGTGGCCTGAGCTTTTGGTGTGATATCCAAAACATCACTGCTAAGGCCAATGTGCAGGACCTTTTCTCCTATGTTCCTTTTGAGATTTTATATTTTCTGGTCTTCAATTTAGGTCTTTGATTAATTTTGAATTGATTTTTGTGTATGGTATAATATATGGGTTTAATTTTATTCTTTTGTATATGGAAAACCAGTTTTTTCAGCACCATTTAGTGAAGAACCCATCCTTTCCACCACTGTGTCTTCTTTGTGTCTTTGTGAAAGATAGTTGGCAGTGTATGTTTGGATTTATTTCTGGGTTCTCTATTCTGTTCCACTGGTCTGTGTGTCTGTATTTATGCCATTATTACGCTGTTCTTATTAACATGGCTTTGTAACCCTTCGTTCCAATTTAAGCCCTTGGTTACATATTCTCCTAAGCACTCATACCTTCTTCTTAGAATTCTGCAACTACTTCCTATCCAATGTTCCTATTTTCTGTTTTTCAGCTTTGGTCTAGCTGCACATGCCAACATAATTTCCCCCCAAATACTATGATATTTACCATATATTAGTGTAACAATTATAATTTCCTTTGCATAGTGTTTTAGTTTGTCTGTATGGAAACTGACATGCTTCACCTTTCCACTATCATCTCTTGATGGGTACTGTCTTGATTCCTCTCTTACAGTTTGGAAATCCATGTACTATGTCCCACTCCCTTACTTTTGCCCCAGATATCCTTTCTGAATTGTCATCCCTCATATATTTTACTTTCTTTTTGAGAAAGTTACAGATAATATTTTTGACAACAGCATTTGCAGATAGTTATCATTTACTTTGTGGATTTTCTGCACTTATGTAAGCTATTATGTTGAATTTGATTGACTGCATCCATTTGGTGACTGAATGAATGTTCACACATTCCTGTTTCAACTAGAATAGAATTCTTAAGATCAAGAGATGTGTGGATAGCATTAATAAAATATGTTTTTGTTTTATTGGAAGAGGGTGTTGCAATGACAGCCATCCTGTCATCTTACAGCAAAGCAAATCACACCATGGCATTATACAAGATCATCTACCATCTTTGTTGTGAAATCTTACTTGATCTTTGCAGTTGGAATTGCTTTCTCTTTCTTTTGTTACCTCATGGCTCTCATTGGTACTTATAATAAGATACCATCTATAAAAATTGCCCAAGTTTTTCTCATATGTTCCCTATAAAATTAGATGTTCCATGATAATAGGGATTATGCATTGTGGTAGTTGCATAATATGTTGAAAACTTATTCCTTGTTGCTCAAAAGTGTTAGTTAAATGATTACATCAATTTACATTCAAACCAATGTATATTTACTAAGGACCAACTTATGTGCAAGATACTGTGTTAAGCCCAGAGCATAAAAAGTCGTATTTCTTACTCTAGAGAAATCTGTAATATAGTGAGAAAAATGTACAAAAAATAGTAGATGAAGAGTAATATTTGAAGATTTTATTTCACTTAATTTTATACGTCATTTGGAGAATGTCATCAGCCTGCCTTCAGCCTAGTTGGTACAAATTGTACACTTGGGCCGGGCGCAGTGGCTTACACCTGTAATCCCAGGACTTTGGGAGGCCAAGGCGGGTGAATCACAAGGTCAGGAGTTCAAGACCAGCCTGGCCAACATGGTAAAACCCTGTCTATACTAAAAACACAAAAAATTAGCTGGGCGTGGTGGTGGGTGCCTGTAATCTCAGCTGCTTGGGAGGCTGAGGCAGGAGAATTGCTTGAACCAGGAGGTGGAGGTTGCAGTGAGCCGAGATCATGCCACTGCACTCCAGCCCCGGAGACAGTGCGAGACTCCATCTCAAAAATAACAATAATTTAAAAAATTGTACATTTGTTCTACAGTAGCTTTTTTGCTTCTCTAAAAATAAACAAATTGTTAAAATAGAAAACAGCTATATGGTGGTTGAACTGTGTTGAAATTTGAGCTTTTTTTCATTCAATAATACATGTCATTACTTCCTTTACTAAAACAGAGTATGTTGTTCCCAGAGCAAATACACATGACTCTGACTAAGAAAGGACAGAGTCACTTTATTTTATGGTCATCTGTTTGATTATAAACTACGGGCAGATTAACAGTTAAAGGGACAATATCCCTTCTGTCTATTATGGTATTCTATCAGGTACCATCCCAGTCTTTGGCATTAATCAACTCTCTTCTCACCCCTTCCATTTTCTCTGTTCTAAAATTCATGTCACCTTTAAAGACAGTTTGGATAAGTTTAAGTACAATAAATTTTGAAGTCATTACATAGCAATTCAAGATGCCAAGTATCCAGAAGTATTCTCTTGGGAGTCACTTTACTAGCTGTAATACTTCAAAAACCTCAATTTCAACCAACGTCATTATACAACAATCCAAAATGCCGAGAATCCAACAGTATTCATTTCAGGAGTCATTTTACCAACTATAATACTTCAAAAAGCTCTATTTCAAACAGCATCCAAGAACTTTCCTTGTCAAAGCTACAGGATATGATGCAAAACAAAACCAAAACCAAAAACTTCTGTATTTATGCTTTAAAAATTCATCTTACTGCCCATTTTTCTTACTTTTGTTGCCCATTTTAATAAAATATCATGCTTTATTTTGTAGCACTGTAACAAAATTATTGGAACCTACTTTGAGAAATGTGGAAAGGTTGCCACTCTAGCCAATGACTACAAAATGATCTGCATTGATGAATACTGCCAAAGTAGAGACAAAACATCTACATGTGACACTTACTCAGAACTGTCCCGCCTCTGTGCCTCAGATGGTCCTGGCACCTTTGAATCCTGGCGAAACGATTCCGATGTGGTTTGTGGTAGGTTTTTACCTTCATTGTAGGTTACAACTCTGTAAGTTTCTACAGCACTTTATTTTTTATTTTTTTTCTCATTTATCTTTTTTTTTTTTAAATCATACGTTAAGTTCTAGGGTACATGTGCACAACATGCAGGTTTGATACATAGGTATACAGTACTTTAAAGTTAAGCTGTATTGCAATGTAATCTCAAATGATTCTAAGCCCTGGAAGGGGATCGTAGAGATGATGAAGTCTTGTTTGTCACATATACTTACAAGGAAACAGATTTGTTTAGGTGATGTGACTCGCCTCAAGTTGCAGTGCTTTTTGTTAAGATCTTAATTTAAAATGTTGTACTTGTTACAATCAGTTAAAGTCACGCAAAACCACGAGTCAGTTCTATAGAAAATAACTGGAAAGTTTATCAAATGTATACTGATTAGTACTATCATTTTTCAAAAAGATTAATAAAAAATGTAAATATGAGGTTCATATGCAAACATACTTTCCACATATGCTTAAGTCAATCCTCATAATACAAGTAGAATATAAATATCAACTTAAGATGAAATGAAATTACAGAAAAAATATGTTTCCTCTAAATTAAATATTGTGTCATAAATAATGCACAGGAAATTGGCACAATTTTGTCGTATTGAGTATCTTTAAAGACTGACTTGTACCTTGTAGCTCAGACTCAAAGAGTTCCATTTGAGAAGCTCCTCCTTAGAAGAGTATGTATTTCTTATATTTAGTTTCCTCTAATATCCGTGTATACATATTTTTATATTTCTTCAGAAACACATAGATGTCCAGAAGAACAACATATCTACAAAGAATGTGGACCCTCCAACCCTGCAACTTGTTCTAATGTGGCTCCTTTTCAAGACAGTGACTGTGTGAGCGGCTGCACGTGCCCAGAAGGTAGTACACCAATGAGAGTATTTACACTAAAACAAAACAAAAGCTAAAAAGAAAGTGGGACTCAAGTCATGTCAGAGTGATATCTTATTTATAGCATGACATTCCAACAATTTAACTATTTCTAATATATTCTCTTAGCAAACTGCAGAGGAGGGTTAGAGAGAATTTTAAAGCTAATGTGTATTTCCATCTCTACAATACCTGAGGGCTTCTGTATTACACAGAATATGCTTTAGTCCCAAATTGAGTGCAATGGGACTGTGCACTGTGTAGCAGTAACTCAGACTCAGAAAATTGTTTTCTATCCTCTTGCCAGTTCTCAAATTAGGAGTAATTGCTTTAACAAGAAATTATCATTTTCGATGCATGTTACGCTTGAAAGAACTATCTCAAGAGTGATTTCACAATACGCTGCTGAACAATTTACTGATGTTTGTAGAGTTTTGAGGTCAACTTTATACAATGTGTTCTAGGTTATCTGTTGGATGATATTGGAGAGAAAGGAAAATGTGTATTAAAAGCTGAATGTCCCTGTGAATCCAGTGGAAACGTGTATCAGCCAGGAGAAGTCCGAGAAGGTCCTTGTGGTTCTCAGTGGTACGTGTGTGCTTTTTGTTCACATATTATTGATGGTAAAATAATACCAATATTTTTACATAATTTGGAAAGATTCCTAAATGCACCCTTAAAATAAACCTTTAAGAAATCAAAAGCAATATCACTGCATTTTCTGTGTTGTTGGTGTTTTGTTTTTAGACTCAGTGTGTTTTTTATTATAAAATATATGATCTTTCTGTGTATCTTTAGAAGATAATACTCACTAACAGAAACAGTGTTTTCAATAGTAAACCACTCGGTAGTTGCAAATATAGAGCAAAGTATAGTATAAGATTTTGGTTACAATAAGGAAACAATAGTGATACTAATTCTGCCAAGGATATTTAATAAAACGTACAGTTAGAAAGAGCCAAATACTTTTCAAATAGTTTTTATATGTGGCGAGATTGGTGAATATGAATAATATATCTATTCAGCAGTAAATTCTAATGTACCAAAAGTTATTGTAGATTATTTCACTATTAATTGAATACTCAGCTTGAGTCTTCCTTCTAAGTTCTACAACGATGTAATGACCATTGAGATTTCCCCATTCTTCATTATGGCTTTTCTCTGAAGCTCTAAATTTCTGCAATACTACAAAATACTTTTTTTTTTTTTTTATTATACTTTAAGTTCTAGGGTACATGTGCACAATGTGCAGGTTTGTTACATATGTATACATGGGCCATGTTGGTGTGCTGCACCCTTTAACTCGTCATTTACATTAGGTATATATCCTAATGCCATCCCTCCCTGCTACTCCCTCCCCACAATAGGACCCAGTGTGTGATGTTCCCCTTCCTGTGTCCAAGTGATCTCATTGTTCAATTCTCACCTAGGAGTGAGAACATGCGGTATTTGGTTTTCTGTTCTTGCGATAGTTTGCTGAGAATGATGGTTTCCAGCTGCATCCATGTCCCTACAAAGGACACAAACTCATCCTTTTTTATGACTGCATAGTATTCCGTGGTGAATATGTGCCACATTTTCTTAATCCAGTCTGTCACTGATGGACATTTGGGTTGATTCCAAGTCTTTGCTATTCTGAACAGTGCCACGATAAGCATATGTGTGCATGTGTCTTTATAGCAACATGACTTATAATCCTTTGGGTATATCCCCAGTAATGGGATGGCTGGGTCAAATGGTATTTCTAGTTCTAGATCCTTGAGGAATTGCCACTCTGTCTTCCACAATGGTTGAACTAGTTTACAGTCCCACCAACAGTGTAAAAGTGTTCCTATTTCTCCACATCCTCTCCAGCACCTGTTGTTTCCTGATTTTTTTAATGATTGCCATTCTAACTGGTGTGAGATGGTATCTCATTGTGGTTTTGATTTGCATTTCTCTGATGGCCAGTGATGATGAGCATTTTTTCATGTGTCTGTTGGCTGTATGAATGTCTTCTTTGGAGAAGTATCTGTTCATATCCTTTGCCCACTTTTTGATGGGGTTGTTTGTTTTTTCTTGTAAATTTGATTGAGTTCTTTATAGGTTCTGGATATTAGCCCTTTGTCAGATGAGTAGATTGCAAAAATTTTCTCCCATTCTGTAGGTTGCCTGTTCACTCTGATGGTAGTTTCTTTTGCTGTGCAGAAGCTCTTTAGTTTAATTAGATCCCATTTGTCAATTTTGGCTTTTGTTGCCATTGCTTTTGGTGTTTTAGACATGAAGTCCTTGCCCATGCCTATGTCCTGAATGGTATTACCTAGGTTTTCTTCCAGGGTTTTTATGGTTTTAGGTTTAACATTTAAGTCTCTAATCCATCTTGAATTATTTTTCGTATAAGGCGTAAGGAAAGAATGCAGTTTCAGCTTTCTACTTATGGCTAGCCAATTTTTCCAGCACAATTTATTCAATAGGGAATCCTTTGCCCACTTCTTGTTTTTGTCGGTTTGTGTCAAAGATCAGATGTCTGTAGATGTGTGGTATTATTTCTGAGGGCTCTGTTCTGTTCCGTTGGTCTATATCTCTGTTTTGGTACCAGTACCATGCTGTTTTGGTTACTGTAGCCTTGTAGTATAGTTTGAAGTCAGGTAGCATGATGCCTCCAGCTTTGTTCTTTTGGCTTAGGATTGTCTTGGAGATGCGGGCTCTTTTTTGGTTCCATATGAACTTTATTTTTCCAATTCTATGAAGACAGTCATTGGTAGCTTAATGGGGATGACATTGAATCTATAAATTACGTTGGGCAGTATGGCCATTTTCACAATATTGGTTTTCTTCCTTTTCCTGAAATGTATTGTGTCTCTGTGGGGACATAATTTGGCTCAATACAAAATGCATTTTCTCTACAAATGGAAAATGTTTTATTTTGGTAGTAATAATCAATATTAATTTATAATGTTTATATTAATATTTAATTTTAATTTGTATGAAGAATTATAAATAATAGTACCTATAATTTATTGAATGTCTATAACAGTACTGTTCAAGAGAAATATAATTTAGGCTACAAAAATGATCCACATATATCATTTAACAGTTTTTAGTTGACAAATTTTTAAAAGACATGAAGAAACAGGTGAAATTAGTTTTAGTCATGTATTTTATAGAACCCAATATATCTAGAATACTATTATTTAAACATAACATTAATATGAAATCAAGTTAGTGAGGGATTTTACAATATTTTTTTCCTATAAGTCTTCAAAATCTGTATGTGTTTTACATTTATAGTGGGTCTCAATTGAGATGAGACACATTCCAAAAGCTCGCTCTATGTATTGTGCGGTGCAGTTCTACAATGTGGTTTGTAGCAGGTATTTTAACACTGATAATGAACTGTGTTCCATTTAAAAAAAATCTCTGAAATCCAGATTATAAGTTTTATATACTTAATTCATGAGAAGTTATCATTATAGTCAAGGCTTCTAAAATATTAGGATACCACCATCAATGAGATGTTTTATTAGAGCTGAGATATTGGGTGGAAAATAAAAATGGTCGAATAAAGCTTAACCAAATGTCTTAACTTGTGATGAATTTTTAGTGTGAAATTTTATTTGAACCATAGAGAAAATACAATTGATAACCCTTAATATAACCATTACATTTTAACAGCACATGCCAAGATGCAAAATGGTCTTGCACTGAAGCATTATGCCCTGGAAGATGTAAGGTGGAAGGAAGTTCCCTTACCACCTTTGATGGTGTTAAGTACAACCTTCCTGGAAACTGCCACTTCCTGGCCATTCACGTATGTAATAGCCTGCAATATTTGAGTAAACTGATATACAAACAAAGCTATTCTTCAACCAATTTAAAACACAGTCTTCACCTTGAATTAGTATTTAAAGAAATAAAAAATGAACAATCCTTCAATTACTGGTTATGTATTTCAGTATGTTTTCTATCACATACTGGCACTGATGGTATTACCTGTCAGTATTAAATTAACATTACCTGTCCTCCTTGGAAATTCCTTGCAAAAAAACAACCTAACAAATAGAACCCTTTTCATTCACTCATAATCATATGAATACACTGGGAATTTATTTCATTCTTCTACTTTTCTTTGTGTGTGGTCACTACTGCTTCAAATAAAATAATCTTTTACATTCCATGAAGCATCTTCTGCTTTCATTATTATTTCCTTAAATTTATTTTTAGTTTTTATAATACAACAGTATCACTATGATAGAGGCTATTCTTACATTTACATTCTTTTCAGTACTAAAATTTTAAGTCATTTGAATTTCAATAAAAGAGTGATTCCATTTTGTAGTTTGTGCTACAAAGAACTGGCAATCTAGTCCACCTGAGAGTTAGTGATTTTATATAATCTTTTTGGTAAGAAATGAAGATGAACAGAATTTGTGAATCCTGAAGTGATAAATGTTGGTTAATGTCCTGTAAGCTACAAAATGTAGTTGCTGCTACTAAAAGTCACTCTTCCAAAATAAAGCTTCTTGATTGCCTACCAACATAATCTGCCTTTCCTTCTTCTTCTTCTTCTTTTTTTTTTTTTAATTTATTTGAGATGGAGTTTTACTCTTGCCGCCCAGGCTGGAGTGCAATAGCTTGATCTCAGCTCACTGTAACCTCTGCTTCCTGGGTTCAAGTGATTCTCCGGCCTCAGTCTCCTGAGTAGCTGGGATTACAGGCACTTGCCACCACGCCTGGCTAATTTTTGTATTTTTAGTAGAGACGGGGTTTCACCGTGTTGGCCAGGTTGGTCTCAAACTCCTGACTTCAGGTGATCTGCCCACTTTGGCTTCCCAAAGTGTTAGGATTACAGGCGTGAGCCACTGTGCCAGGCCTGCCATTCCTTCTTTTTATGCTCCTCTAAATCCATTAGGATACAGGGTGGGGAAAGTAAGAGGGGAAAATGACAAAGCATAGGGAACATTTGCTTCTTATAGATTACAGATTTCCAGACATTGAAGTGAGATCTGGAAGTCTATGTTTGATATGACTTATATTACAGTTTAACAAATTAAATGACTCTCACATTGGATTTAAATAGACATTGCGAACTGTCCAGAGAAGAAGCAAACTATGTTACTGCTAATTCCTAAGAGTCCTTATGTGGCAGTACATTCCCTTTGGGAAGACAAAAAGTAAAAATAAAATTAAAAAATGATGACTATGAAAATTCATCAATGGTAAACTACATGGATATAGTTTATGCAAGATACTAAGCTCTTGGCCAGTACTGAGGCTGTACTATGGGCTGAACTTGGTTTCTATTCTTAGAGCACTCTGATTGTAGTAGGAATTGTACATATTTAAAATTCAAACACTCATTGTGAATGAATTACATAGTAATAGCATACCATAAATAGCATTAAATGACATTCTAATAAACATTTTAATGAAATGTATTTTTTACAGAATGAAGATTGGTCTATTAGTGTTGAGCTCCGTCCATGCCCAAGTGGTCAGACAGGAACATGCTTAAATAGCGTTACACTTCTTTTGAATTCTGTAAGTAATCAGCTTCCTAAGGCTTATTCAGAGTCAAATCATATCACCTATTTTATAAATTCAGGATTTTTGAGGTTGAAGAAGAGAAGCTTTACTATGTATACTCAAAGCTTAAGTAAAATTGCATAGAAAATTGATAAAGTCTCTGGAAGTGCCAGCTAGTTGCAAAAGTCTTGAAGTATATCAAAATCACCATAGATATACAATTAATATGTTGATTATGGATCAAATTTATGTGTTCATTGAAATGTTAAACTTTGCAGACCATTTATGAAGGAAGGCAATGGCATTTGTTTAGAGCTTTATTTATTTGGAATTGACATTATAAGTGGAAATAGACCTAAATGGGAAGGGAGGATGAGTAGTTTGGACTTTGACCTTCACAGGCTGTTTAACCTTTGGATACCCAAGTTACCGTCTTGGGTTTCCATTTCTGCATTCACATGTTGGGGATGAAGATTTATTTACAATCTGGTACACAGAGTTGGTATGAGAAACAATGAAGCAAAGTGTGCCTTAAAAATGCTTTAAAAAGGTATTTTAGATATTTATTAATTAATCCTATAGCATTAAACATCTTATGACATAAAAGTTTGGGTTCATATATTACATTAAAATTAATACTGTAAGTTAATATTAACTAACAAAGTGTTTTAAATATTAGTCTGTTCCAGTTGACAAATACATATTCAGCAGTGATGGAACAGTCACAAATGACAAGATTAGAAATCAAGGTTATTACTATTCAGGTAAGTTTAATAACAACATTTTAAAATAAGTGTAAGATGCAGTCATTTTTTCAATTTTTAAAGCTATTACATTTCTGATTTTTAACAGATATCAAAATATTAAAGTATTTTAAGAAAGTAAGAACTGTTGAACATGTAATTAATGTTCTTAATTATTTTAACAGATAAAATACAGATTTTCAACGCATCTTCCTCATACCTTCAAGTAGAAACATACTTTCACGTAAAACTACAAATACAAATTGTTCCTGTGATGCAATTATATGTTTCTATGCCACCCAACCAATTCACAGACACTGTGGGTAAGTCCTCTGGATTAAGTTTTATTCCCAAGGCTGAAATATTACCATCACTTATTCTAATTTCTTAATTAGATAATTAATTAATAACAGTAAGCCAATAAACCATTTTGACTTAATCTTTCCTTCCACATTGTAGTAAAATAATTCCAACTTACTCGTCATAGTAAAGATGGCTTTACTTATTACAAAATCTATTCCCTAAAGATTTTAACAATTTAAATTTTTAAACATTTTAAATTAACGCTTTTATTTAAATGAGATTTGATAATATATGTGTTAATGTATCACTTTGCTAGTGTGTGCTACTAAGGCTTTAAACCATAGTTGAATAAATGAAAATATTATAGATATAAATCTTTTGAAAATCATAGTTTATATAAAAGCTACACTGTGACTTGTCTTTCTGGGAGATCATATGGTCATTTCTGTCACTGATGTTTTCTGTCTTATAAATCAGATATTAACTACAGCCAGAAATGTTGAGCAAAACAAACAAAGATTATGGCAAGTGCTACAAAGACTAGTACTTAATAAACAGCAGAAGCTTTTGTAACACACCTGTACTTGAGAAGGTAACTTATTTACACAAAGGAATAGATGTAACTCATAGGTCAGAAGGGTCTGGGTTAAAAAGGCATATAGCACTCAATATGATTCAACTATCCACACTGAAATCGTGCAAATGTGAGTCATAAGTTCCTACTTAGAAGCACACTTTCTGTTGGCTCCTCCAAAGAGATACAAGTTACAGCGACAAATAGGAAAAAGACAGTATTCATGGCAAATGGTGTTTCAGTGCTCCTGGAATGCGAATGAAAGGGAATTTGGGTGAAATCTGAAATGCCATGACATTTTACTTAATGTATGAAGGCTAAACAAGGCATATTCTCAGGTAGCTTCTACAAGTTTTCTCTTGGGCAAAGAACTGAATGTGCAGTGAGGATGTGAATCCAAAAAATTGAGTAGGTGAGGTGTGAAACTTTGCTGTGTGCTTTTATACAGGACTCTGTGGTTCCTACAACAACAAAGCAGAGGATGATTTCATGTCAAGTCAGAATATATTGGAGAAGACATCTCAAGCATTTGCTAATTCTTGGGAAATGATGTCCTGTCCTAAAGGAAACCCCTCTTCATGTATTAGTATAGAAAAAGGTAATGTTAATTGACTATAGAAATCTGTAATTACGTATTTGGTGCTAGGAATTATGTACTTATTTTGGTAATAATATGAATGCGTCAGATAATCCTGGCTTTAGTTAGTTTTTGTTGTACTGTCTGCATTTTGGAGGACACAGCAGAGAAGCAGTCTGGTTGGCTGATCTTATTCCTACAAAACAAATAGTTCATGGGAGTTCATCTTGGTTGTTTGCTTTTCTATACCTACTCCTTTCCTTCTTACACAATTTTCACCGTCACTATAGAATAACAAGATTAGAAGAGATTTGGGGCACATTTAGTTCTTCAATTATTCCCTCCTTTAACTTAGTTATAAAAATAGTCATTGGTTGAACTAGCAAGACTCGCCCAAACTGGTGAAGCCACTTGATGATAGAGCTGTGGTTAGGTCCAGGTGTCCTAACTACTGCTGTGCAAGCCCCAATACAGACATTATTTAAACTTTACACTGGTATGATTCAGCTTACATTTATGCTTACCAAAAGGCTTTTAAAACATTAGTTCAATTTATTTCTACCAAAACTCATGAGCAGCCTGGGCGGGACTATTATCCCCACTAATGTAGATAGTGGGGATAATGGAGCACAGAGAGGGTTAATAAAGATCCCTAGTGAATAAGGATGACAGATGAGAAATTCAAGTATTTTGAATCCAAGTCATGCTTTGGTCGCTCCTCTGGTATTGCTGATACTAATAAATGCTTCATTTTATGTTGCTTCTTTCATTAAAAAAAAGAGTGCAATGGAAGCTAAGTTAAAATATATTACATTGACATGTTAATTAGTTGTTTCTAAATTAATATATACTTGAAATAGTCTTATCAGATTATAATAATATTTTAACATTACTAAGGCAATTCCTTTTGAAAGCCTTGTCTACTAATTTTGATTTAAAAGAGTTGGTAGAAGCATTAATGTAAACATCATAATACATATTTCAGGGTTTTGATTATCATATTATTTTGATTTTGGAGTGTTGCAATGAAAACAGTTATAATGAGAATGTATATCTCATAAGATACCAAGTCAATTTATGTTAAGCAGACTATATGCCACCACTTTGGAGAGATATAGAAATTAATTAAGTTTAATTTTCAGTGCTTTACATTTAACTTAACATAAAATACAGAAAATTAAACTGTATTTTAATAAGCTGTTAGTAATATTTAGATAAAAAGTGATGATACTGGGTTGCCAATTTGTTAAAATTTTGGAAATAATTGGTCTCAGTTTGTTTTTAATAGAGACAGCTTCCTCTATTACCAAAAATCTTTAGGCCAAGCACTTATTACTCAGATGCTATTGTTATGATTTTTATTTTTGTTAATTTAATACTATGCTAGTTATTTATAGGCCAATGAAATATCAATTAAAAAACAAAACAAAATTGGTGTGTTGGAATTATTGATACTGGTTGTGCTAATATATGATCTTCAGGAAAACTGATATAATCTTCTATAATCTTCTGAGGTGACTGGGATCATGTGGTGGTTGGGCGGGGGGGGCGTTGTTGTGGTTGCTTTATTTACCAACTCATCACAATTTAGCTATAAATATATATTTTAAAGTTAAAAGGAATCCAAAGATATAATACGGTCCCCTAATTCCATTTTTATATAGGAACTGCATTTCAGAGAAAGGTAAATTGATTTAATTCAAAATTCCAAAGCTAACAAAGACTTTGCCTCTTAGTGTAAGATTTTTTAATTATAGCATGCCATCTTTGCATATAGTGACAAGTTAGATGTATTACAGCAGAACACTTTAAAAATTGTTTTAATAGAGAGAACAGTTAAAATTGTACATCTTTTCTTTCAATTAAAGAATTATGGCCGGGTGCGGTGGCTCACGTCTGTCATCCTAGCACTTTGGGAGGCCAAGATGGGCGAATCACGAGGTTAGGAGATCGAGACCACCCTGGCCAACACGGTGAAACCCCATCTCTACTAAAAATACAAAAAATTAGCTGAGTTTGGTGACACACACCTGTAATCCCAGCTATACAGGAGGCTGAGGCAGGAGAATCACTTGAACCCAGTAGGCAGAGGTTGCAGTGAGCCGAGATCATGCCACTGCACTCCAGCCTGGGTGAAAGAGTAAGACTCCATCTCAAAAAAAAAAAAAAAAAAAGGAAAGGATTATGACATTATTGAAACTAATTTTGAATGCACTGATTTTCTTCCAGAAAAGTTTGCTGAAAGGCACTGTGGAATTCTTCTTGATTCAAGTGGGCCTTTTGCTTCCTGCCACCCAATTGTGAACCCTAAACACTATCATGAGGTATGTGAGGCTCTAACATTAACACCTCTTGTTGACAAATACTTTGCTGATATTGACAAAAGCATGTAGATATTAAATATTTTCGAATAACAGCCATTGTCAGTAGATTAAAGTATATCCTTCGATATGTATTAGATTCTATTAATTCATTCTTGTGTTAGATATGCCAACTTCAGAAGAAAAGTGGTGCGGAAAATAACCCCAAATGAGAAAAATCTTGAATAAGTTTCTCTTTCTGCCTTTTTAAAAATGTTTTGACAAGCAGGCTAATAATTCATTCACTATTTTGAATATTGAAAAATGTTTTCGAACATTTCAAAAAAGCTTTTTTTGGAGTAGAAGAGTGGTTAGGAACTAAATTATACTCAGTTTACCTGTTCTTCTGAGTAACTTCATAATGTAATATAAATTTGTTTCTTATTTTCAAGGAATGCAAAAAATATACTTGCTCTTGTGAAAACAGTCAAGACTGCCTATGTACAATTTTAGGTAACTATGTGAAAGCGTGTGCTGAGAAGGAAACATACATAGTAGAATGGAGAACTGGCCTATGTGGTAAGCCGCAGAGAAGCTTGCAATAACTACTTCCTTCCCAGTTTTGCTATAGTGGGTTTGTGTGTGTGTGTGTGTGTGTGTTGTGTGCGTGTGTAGGCATATGTGTTTACAAATTTTTAACTAGTTCTTTCAAAGATGATTTTTTTGTTTTATTTTTAATATCCTTGTGCAATCCTTACATATTTTACTTCTTGATTTATTGATCTTGATTTAATATATTCACATATAGAGAAAAACCAGAATATATATGTATTTATATATAAATATATGTTTCTGTTCAATTATTGTGTGCTGAAATTTAAATAATGTTCTGACTACTAATGCATTTGTAAATGACATTTTAATATGAATAATTTATGTTGAGAAAAAACAAAAATGAACCAATAAATTAAGGGCTCAACTATGATATTTTTAAAATCTTGCTTTGTTTTAAAATATTTATTGCACTGTTTGACTATGACTTCACAAAAACACTTGATTTACCAAGAGAAAAACAAAAACAAACAACAAACTTTGTAGAAACAAACCTCTTGTAGATCATATTTAACACCACATTGCTTGTATCTAGTTAATCAATAAGATCTGTCCATTTCACCTCCAAAATCTCTCTTAAATTTATTCACATCTCTCCATCTATATTGCCACCAACCAGGTTCAAGAAACTACCATTGTTTTTTCTCCTGGGTGATTTCAGCAGCCTCCTTCAATATTTACTCTTGGCTTCCTCTAATCCATTTTCTACAGAAAAACCAGGGTAATTTTTAAAACCAAGCCAAATGGAACTAAGCATATCATGTGACACTCCAGGCTAAAATAAGTTAATGGTGTCTCATTGCTCTAAGGCTAAATACTAAACTCCTTAAGGGGGCCCTGTAAATTTTAACCACTGATTCATTCTGTCTCTGGCCATATAGTTTCTATTCTTCTATGTACTCTTTGAAAGACTCATTCTCCCTCTGATTTAGGCTATTCTCCAGACAGAATCACCTCTCCCTGGACTGTCTTCTTGCTCTTCATCTACTCACGCTCTTCACTAAGTGTAGATCCTCATCTGTACACAGTTAGTGCTTCCCTTCTTGTTTCTTCATAGCACGTACCATGACTGTCCTTTCACTGGGAATATAAGCCACGTGAAAGGAATGTATTGCTTCTCCTGTTTATGGGCTTAACCCCCAGCGAAGTTTTTAAACACATTAATAGGAATTCAGTATTGACTGAAAACAAAAAAGAATTTTAAAAACCCAATGAACAAGGACTTAAAAAATTTATAATCTCTCTTATGAAAATTCACGATATCTATAAACATCGAGCTGAAATAAAATTGTTTATTTCCCTGAATATGTACATATTCATTGTTTCTTTTGTCTCTGTACCAACAGAACATTCTTGTCCAAGTGGACTAGTTTTCAAGTACAATGTAAAAGCCTGTAATAGTTCTTGCCGATCATTGTCAGAGAGAGATAGGAGCTGTGATGTAGAAGATGTTCCAGTTGATGGATGCACCTGCCCTGATGAAATGTACCAGAATAATGAAGGAAACTGTGTACTGAAATCTCAGTGTGACTGCTACATAAATGACGAGGTCATGCAACCAGGCAAACTCATCCATATTGATGACAATAAATGGTATGGAAATTACATGTATACTTGCTATGACACTGAAATCAACAGACTGTGTTCTTTTCAGAGAAATGGTCTTTTGTCAGTATGAAGTCTTTTTAGACTGGTCATACTTATGATTCTTATTTCTTAATAAAAATCTCTTTTATTCTGGAAGGCTCATTGCATCCTAATGGATATAGATTATCCCACTCTGGTTTTGTTTTAAACACCAGTAGAAAAATATTCTGGTAAATTCTATATACAGACAATGTGAAATGATTTCATATTCAGAAGATGCTCTCTAGCTGTCTCTCTGTAGTCATCATTCAGCAAACACTTATTAAGTGTCTGCAGTGTGCCAGGCCTTGTGCTGAGTGCTGGAGTTGCAAAGCTGAAGGAACATTGTCTTGGACTTCAAGTAAGCAGGGCACAAACTATTAGAAGGAGCTTTGTATACTAGAATATGGTAGCAGAAAGAGCCAGGTACTACCTAAGGAGATTAAGGAAAACTTCTCAGAGAAGACAGGCAAATAAATTGTACGAGGGAATGAATCTTTTTCCAGACAAAAATGAAATGTAGAGGATGATTTCCTGTAAACAGAATGCACAGATGTAGGAAATGTTAGAAAAAAACTACACATGTGGGTTGTTTTGTACAAGATTGGGTTAGAAACACTGACAGTGGTCAGATCATAACCAAGAATTTGGAATTAGTTTCTGAAGAATTGAAGAATTTTGACTATTTTGGCCAAGGAGGCTATGATTTCTACAGTTTGGAGCAAAGTAATTTTTCTCTTTCTTTCTCTT